GTTGCGACATCGCACACAAACCACGGAAGCAACTTTGGTGCGGCCTGTCGAGTGTCGCCTGTTAGAGACGATCAATCTCAACGCCCTCGAGGACTATGCGGCCCATGAGACAGATCGCCGTCAGGACCTTCTACGTCACTACCTCCAGCGCCATCGTGCAATGGGAACCAAGATGGGTAGCTCCTCGCTCCTACAGGTCGAGTACTATACGCTTCCACATTATGGTCGCCTACTATCTCGTGGACCTTCAGGTCAGAAGCTCACGAAGGAGGCTCGGACAGTGGCATTCGGCCTCGACGCGGCCGAAGTGGACGCAGCATGTTGTCATCCCCGCCTTCTTGTGCGAAAGCTCCAGATGTTCGAACTTTGGGACAAGACCAGGTTCCCCATGCTCAACCTATTTGTGGAGCACTATGCGTCATGGCGGGAGGCGATCGCTAAGTACGTGGACATTCCTGTCGCTGATGCAAAGGTGGAGCTCATCCGCATTTTCTATGGCGGCAAGCCCTCCTTCGAAGCTCCCTGGATCCTCAAACTTGCTGATGAGGTTCAAAAAGCAGCTTCTTGTGTATTGCGTCATCCAGAGGCAGCAGCATGGCGAGACTTATACTCCGATCGTCGCAACCCCGAGTTCAGTCGACTTTCGGCTTTGTTGTCCTTCGAGGAGAATGAATTGTTGAAGGAAGTCCGTGATGTCATCGGGAACCAGTCCTGCGTGTTGCTCTTCGATGGGGCTATCATCCATTGCACCAGTTTGGAACATGAGATTTTGGTGTCAGAATCGTGTCGACGATGCGCCCAGTCCATGATTCCAATGTCTGTGAAGTCCTGGCCCACATCGACACATTCGATGACACTAGCCCGTCTGGCTCTTCGGCGGGACATGCTGAGTGTTGTTTTGGACGGCAATGTGATCACATCATTCCAGAACTGTCTACTCAATGGCATCGCCAACGTAGAGCCTAGTGTTGATTTACAATACTTCGCTGATCATGAAGGCCCGCTTTCCGCCAAGGAGTTCAACGAGATCATATGTTTCGCTTCGCAACAGCCAAGCTCGGAATCCGTCCGCATGATCTTGGAGCCTATGACTGACGTCCTCACTCATGTCTGCTCGAAGGAGAAGTGGCTTTGTCACCAGCAAATGTCTGATGGCACTGGACATTGGTTTGCTGTGGTTTTCGAGGAATCCGGTGAGGTTCGGCTTGTTGACAGCACTGCAGGTGCACGTAGACTGTCCATTGCTGCAGATGGCCTGGCATCCTTGTGCTGTCAACTTTCTGGGTTGACATGGTTTCAACTTCGGAACATTCCCCACAGCATTCCCATGGACAACGATCGTGCCTACATGCTTGAGGGTACTGCGACGGCTGTTCATGATGATTTCCGCGTTTCCTTCCGAACGCCCTTGCAACACTGTGTGAAGTGTCAGTCTACCTTAGCGTCTGCCGACGTTATGGCAGCCAGACTGTACACCTTGCGGGGTGTACAGGAAGTTGAGCACATCCCCATGCGCTGCACGTCGAAGTCTTGTCGCATACGACATTTGTAGCTTATACTACTACATGATCCGCGAAGCTGAGAAAATGTGGTCCCGATCAACAAACGCCAAGGACAAGCTCGCCGCCATCGACCTGGACAATCCACTCACCGACCCATTCATGGCGGATTACACTTCTTGGTGGCACAAGCATCAGCTGACGCGCACCGAGCACATGTCCATCCGGGAGATTGTTCTTGATGGTCATGAGAAAGTGGCCACGAAATGCTCCGGTGCGCCTCCACCGCATGCCGGAAGACCCCGGAAAGATGGCAAGGAGAAGCTTCGTAATAACGGCTGGTTCATGGCCATAGATCCTCGCACAGGGCTCATAGCTGCAGTACAAGAAATGCAGCAACCTGAGAATAATCAGGTGGCCCTGGATGTCCTTCATCTCGTGGCGATGAGGTCATCACAACTGGACTGCGTCGTTTATGACAGAGCCTGTAGATGCGTTCAGCAAGGCCGGAAAGACGCACGCACCAAACACATTAAGCATTGGTGCGTTGATCGCTTTCACGCCAAAGGCCATGCTCCTGGCTGTCCCTGCTCTCCCCTGCAACACAAGACCTTGAATAACCGCCTGGAGGGCATCAACACCTCCATTGCCGAGCAAACCTTTGCTTGGTTTCGCGGTTATGCCTCGCAGTTCAACACAAAGTCGCCACGCTCTCACGCGTTCTACGTCTTGCTGTATGTGCAGAGGCACAACGACTTGACTCGTCAAGGCTACCGCAATCATTTGAACCCTTTCTCCGCCAGGAAGCAAGCTGCTATGACAAGCGGCTTGCTTAAGCGCCCAGCTTGCAAGAAGTACACATGCAGACGCCCAGCATCATCCCCACGAGCGTCTTCTGCGACTTCCAAAAGCGCCTTCGCGGACAAGAAGACCCCTTCCACCCAGGTGATCAAGCGCTACGTCAAGAAGACCCCTGCCACCAAGATGATGAAGCGCATCGTCAAGAAGTGATGGGACAGCGTTTGAGGTTTGCCAACCTGTCCAATCGGGTTTGGATGTCGCGTCGTTGCTACCCGCGTGTATGACAGTGCACACTCACCAGAGAACACTGCGCAAATGTATCAAGTTTGTGCACGTACACTTCGGCATATCACATGTTCTTACATTCTCTTGTTTCAACAATGTCATGCTACATGTTTTGTCCTATCGTTTCCTGGACATCATACAGAAGGACGAAGTGTGGTACGCAGATGGTATTCGCCATCAAATTCGTAATTAGGTCACGCAAATGTGTTTCAAACAGCAAAGTCACCTTGATGACTCTGCTGTTACAGCTGCAACACCTGACCGATTGCAAGAAACATGCATGTGTGCTTTGAGTCCGGATTGCAAATACAGGATACATGCTGAAAGACTAGCCTCGAGCTGATACATACTGAGGTCACAGCCTCAGCTCGGATGAGGGTGTCGGCAGCATTATTTTCGGACATTACGGGTATGTTCGATTGCTAGTCGTGTTGCCTTCTGATAACAGCTGTATTCTATGGAAGAGTTCGCTATGTTAATATTGTATATCTTAGTAATTACTTTTCAGTTATAAAATCCACGAAAATCGTGGTTTTACTCGTAAAATATGGGGCCCGTAATGTCTTACACTCTCTATTTTATTACGGTTGTCATCAACAGCACGAGCACTTTCCAGCATTTCGGCTTCGGTAACCAATGCCGGCTCGGAGATGATGTGAGAACAGTATCCACACCCATTCACAAATCCTGCTGCGCCGGCCTGAGCCACCAGCCCAATCCAAAGACCAAGGCTCGTCGATGCTACAGCAGCCAACATGTGCGGCAGCCTTCAAGACAAGGGCGAGTGGATTCGGATGGTGCAAACAATGTCCAGATATGTCCAGATACCAGCAACGTCCGCATGAGTCCCTGTCCATGCAGCCGTGCACGCTCTGGCCTCTTGCCCCAAACGATAGCTCCCGTTCCTGCATGTCCAAAGCTGCGATGCGCCGAATGTACAAGCAGTCGCCTTTCCGTTTAAACAAGAGACGTCCACGAAAAAACAAGCATTTTTGAGAGCATTTTGAACTCTGTTTTAACTCTGAACTACGAAAACAAAATAACAATCTTGTACGATCCATCATAACTTCGGAGCCCCTTTGACTAAATCCTCCCGAGTCAAGACTCGTAAGACGAAGGATGGCTCGTTGTATACTATGAAAGCCCGATACGTGTATACGTGTAACTGCTGACTGCTACTGCACGCAAGAACAGCTACATCGCTTCCAAGTGCAAATCACGGTGCTGGAGCATTCGGAGAGGATGAGATCAAGCTGACACAAGACCAATGACCCATCACTCCGATTCTGCAATCATCACAGAGGAGCACTGCCACTGGCCTAGAATCAGTCCGATAGCATGCATGACATCCGGGTCGCCAAGGAAATGCTCCACCTCGTCATACTGGCCGTGACTTCCCGGCATCATGAGCGAAGGCTCTGGCTCCGTCAGATCTAGCTGTCACATGCTGTCACGGCCGCTGTCACTTGCAGTACACACGGCGGAGGAGTTCGAGCAGAGAATTAAGGCCCTGTCCTCTGCGGCCGAGAGCCATGTAGTGTTTGTCTGGTTGGAGATGATGGAGCCTTCGGCCGACGCGCAGTCTTCAGCATGCTCTCATCACCAGCTCTGCTGCGGCGTCGACCAGCTGTTGTCAAGAGTTCGAAGCCCAGACCCGAGAAGTCCGAGAAGTTGGCCTTGCTTGCACCGTCAATAATGCAACTAAGGGTGCGTTTGCAGGACGGTGCTCCGCCCGCTTAAAGAACGTGCCTGGAATTCAGGTGTCGTGCTTGTTGAGTTCACGATCATCGGCTGAGGCCATCGGCTGACTGTGGCGTGTGCTTGTAATCGAAAATGGCAATATAAATAAATAAATATATATATGTGTATATATATATATATATGTATAGCGCTGGCCGATGCCCAGAATAGCTGCGCATCTTCACCAAAGTCACGTATAGTCACGTGTATGAGTCGTACGTGACATGGCTGACGTGGCAGTCCCGAACTCACACTTTGCATGTTTCCACGTGGCAGATGCATGCAAATGCTGGAGACTTGCGCACACGCCTTTTTTGTCGAATAGTATGCTATGTTCGTCTGCAACGTCGGATCTTGCAGTGAGATGGCTTTGATGCCGCCCAGCAGGTTCCCGTAGTGACGTGGCTGAGCGAGAATTGGCCCAGGCTGGCATGTCCGGACTCAGAGGAAAGGCATGATGCAGTGTTAGCCTAGCTATGCTCTGTCACTTGGGAACCTAGGCTAGCACCGGTGCTTCTTGTTGCTGCGACCTATGACTGGGACAGTAGCTGACATGTTGCCCGATGTATGACATAAGTCTGGAAATCCACTGACCCAACAGAAACCACACGCTGTCATCATACGTCCAGTGGCTTTTGACGGTGTATCTGCCCGAGGAGGCATGCACTGATCCGGCTAAGCAGAACCGGTAGCAGGCTTGTAATTCGGATTCTTCTTCAGGATGACAAAATCCTTCGCATGTGGCTCTGGTGCCAGGCTGTTGACACCACAGGACTGTCGCGTTCTTTGCACGTTTCTGGCAAGCCCCAGTCCTCTAAGATGGTTCCGGGCGTCACTGGCAGGTACTCTTCTGTCGCAAGCTCAGCTCTGTCCTACATCGGTTGACGATCACACATTGATTTTGCTGGGGGCGTCAACGATGTAAGCACTCACAGCAGCACAAAACAAGGCCTGAAAGTTCAGAAGCACTGGAGTAGTTCTTGTCTGGAAGCCCGTAATCTGCTTTGGACGGCCAGCCATGCCAGTTACCTTTGGCAAGCTACATCACAGCTACTCGTAGCCGGGAAAGATGACCTTCTCCTTACTTGGTCGGCTGCGTCCACTGCCTGACCTACACGGACAGCCACCTTCAGCTCGTTCATGTCCTTCAACAAGCGACACTGAGACTTGTCCATTGCCTCTATGACGCACACAGGCTTCCTCGTCCACCGTAATCAACCATCTTGGTCGCATGGCTGGGACCACGTTGTACAGCAAGTAGTGGCTCTTGCCCAGAATTGTGTTCCTTACTTTCCGGACAGGAGCGGCTTGTTTCCGTCGCACCAAACAGAGCCAAGCCACTTGAGGTGCAACACCGAATGCGCCTCGGCAAGGTCAACACGTCTCCAGCCAGGTACCATCAGTGACAATTCCACAACTGCACAGCTGGCCAGCACTGCAAGGGAGCCAAAGGCAATTGGATCCACCAAGTAACCTTCCAACGGCTGCAGACACATGGTCAAGGGTATGCACAAGCGACAGTACCATCTGCAACACAGCAACGATCGCTAAAGAGAGGGTTGATGGTGAGGAGACCCTTGCCCATGTACAGAAGGCCTCAGCTGCGTCTTGACACCATGAGAAGACGCAAAGAACTCACGAGAGGGCAGCAACAATCTGTACTTGTCTCTTCGCACTGCCGCACATGTAGATACACAAGTGAGTTTGTTCATCTTGTTGAAGAGCTGTCTGTGTTGGAGCGCTGTCGCTATCAACCCCACCAAGACGTTATGCAGCTTCACATATCTGGTCGAACGCAACCGCCGAGTCAACGATACTCAGTGATACTCAGGCACGGCTACAGTAGTCTTGCGCGTCTTCATGCACTTGCTACACAGTGAAAACTTTGTGGTGGAATTTGCCCGACTTTCGACTCGAAAGACAAAGATAAGGGTGCCTGAATCAAGGAGAGCCACCCTGAGCAATTCTGACCATGAAGAGCGCATTGGGGTCTTTCGCATAGTACGCCGCCAGTTGCCTGGAAAGGCGAATCTATGACTGAGAGCCCCACATCACGTTCAACTGCATCAGCGACCCAAGGCCCAAAGCCTGCTGGCCTGAGCAGGCCTGCTAGACGTGCATTGTTCGTCCCGGCGCCTGCAACAGTGTCTCAGCCGTGCAGCCAACAGAAATATCGTCCGAGCTAAGCCGGCCTATGAGACCCATACTCATGATTGCACCGGTCGCCACATCCTCAAGCAGGGCAGCCCAACATTGCAAGCAAGGCTTCGCCATGCAGTCGCGTCCTGGTCTGCATCGTGTGACAGCTTCGCAAGAGTGTCTATCACGAGCACCTGCTTCGTCACTTCGTGCGTGAGAACTGTCAGCTGATATTGCTGACATGAGGCCCGTTGCTGGCCTTCGGATTGGACAGGTGCAGGATCGCCAAGGCGATTGGGACGGCTCGCCTCCACGACTACGCTTCAGTTGGCTTAAGACCGCGAAGCAGACCTGTTACATGTGAAGCCTGAGCGTCAGCTCTCCGTATTGAAGTATGTGATCAATCGATCTGCATGCCATTTCGGCACCTGGCATTGACAGCTAACACGTGGTTCGTCACAACATGGTGCAGTCCACTCAAGACCTTTTCACACATGCTTGGGCCATAGCCGATCTCTTCACCGAAAGCAATCAGAGCTATTCCAAGCACTGCAGTTGCCTGAAGCAGGCATTGAGCTTTCATTATCTCTAGTGATGAGCAGCAAGAGCAACACAAGAGGCCTGGTGAAAGGCTTCGGCTTCTTCAAGGTGATCGGTGCATGCTTGCAGCCTTATGACTTGACTCTGCAAACCACAATACCATTTCATTTCAGATCAGCGGCGAAGCATTCAACAACATGCGGCTGCAAGCCGGGAGCACCGCATTTTCTGCACATGCAATACGTCACCAGAATAAGCAAAAGCGAAGCCTCCAACTTGAAGAAGCAACATCTTGGGAACATGGGCGGAAACATGACGCATGGCTAGCAGCGGCAGTGCAACTGGGGGGAAAGTCCTTCCACGGTCAGCTTCGCATACTTCCCCACTGGATGTGTGATTGCATCCAGGGCTGACAAAGTAGCTTCTGCAGCATCCTGAAAGCAAGTACGTCTCTATGAAATGCCATTTTACCGTGCTCTCCACCGTAGACGCTGACCTGCTGCCCCAAGTACAGGAGGCCTGCACGTTGAGTTTTTGCAGCATGTCACGACCTTTGACACTGCCTGCTTGGTTCCTTGCCTAGGCCAACTGCAAAAAAGTGTGGCCAGGTACCACTCAAGGCGTTTTCTACGGCCTCGGGAGACAGCACAGCCGAGTTCATTGAGTCCTTGACAAAAGTCTAGACATGTTTGGACAGAACCGCTGAGTAGCAAACTTGCCTCTCAATGAGTGTCTGTAGAATTGCCTGGGCCACCTCCCAAAGACTTTCTGGACATTCCATTGCCATTCCTACCTCGAGGATGCGTCTGACTGGACCGGCCTCGTCATTGCAGGATGACACGAAAGCCAGGCCCAAGCTGACTGCCGCCATAGCGGAACACTCGATGCTGCAGGCCTCGGCCAAGTTTGATGTGGTTGCCGGCATATACCGGCCATAGCCATGTCCACTGGGCTGTCGGGTCGACACCGTGTGACAATCAGGCCCGGGCCGTATCAACGATCATGGGAGTTAGATTTTCCAGAAGATCCTCGTCGGATATCAAAGATTGGCCAAGCTCCTTTGCTGATTTATCGTCGGCTGGTCCTCTCGGCAGCTTCCTGCGTATGCATACCCCAGGCCGACGACTGCCGCTAATCGCAGCTGTCCATCCTGCAAGCTGAAGCTTGGAAAGTCACAGCGTGCAATACCCAGACAGATGATGACAGAGACAAAAAGAGAGATTCAGAGATTCGTTCCAACAACAAAGTAACGGAAAAGAGTCGTCACTCAATTGCCTCAACAATAAAGCCATTGCGGCTATCAAAATGTTCATGGCTGGCAATGGGGCGACGGAGCCTATCACTCCGCAGGAACATTTCATCGGGCAGCAACGGCTCCAAAAGCGAGGCCAGAGCCGAGAATCGTTTATTCATCCCAGTTCCCCGACAGGGAACGCACCCCCCTTTCCGACATAAAAACAAATCCCCAAGACAAATCGACACCGGACCCCCGAACCAAAGCGAATGACAGTGTTTGAAAGGTGTGAAATCGTTCGTTTCGTTTCGAAAACGAGGCCCCTCCAACAGGACCCCCGAAATCGAACCGCGACCCCGGAACCTGAGCAAACGACGTCGTTTTGGGTTGGTTCGGGGTCCTCTCTCTCTCACTCCGATGCACACACAGATTGAAACTCCCATGCACATAACACTCTCTGAAACTTCGATGCACAAAGATAATATTGTCGGGGATAGCTGGTTTCTTGTCGCGGGTGTTGGCAAAACCGTCATGGACAGGGCACGTTCTCCACTCGAAACTCGGCACACTTGCAAAACACGGTTTGGGAACATGTTGCTATGTAGCCTTAGGCATCTTCACTTCACGCTAATTGTGTGGAAGTGCCTCCGAAACAACTGCTTTTGGATAACTTCCTTGTTTTCCACAGACACACCACGCAGTTTTCATCGGACATTCCCAGCTCCTGCAGACGTTTGCGAATTTCGGGGAGCGGTGTTCGACCCCTGCCTTGAAGATCCTTGTTGAGGCTGCGAGAAAAAGAACTATCAGCAACGACGAGCTTCAATTGCAAGCCTTTCGCAATGCACCCGGCCTCAGCCTCCAGCTGCTCACCCAGAAGTGCCCATGCCGGGTCACATTCGTTCTTGACCTGGGAAAGTCGTTTGCTGAATGCTGAAGTCTGGCTGCGCTGCACATCCGTTTCGCATTGAGGGTTTGGCACCGCAGGTGACCAGGCCGAAAGCCAGCAGCGCGCCAGCCTGCAATGCTCCCATCAGCGCCCAAAGCCTTGAGCGACTCGACTCGGGCAGAGCCTTCAGGTTCACATCTGAACTCCACTGGTACCTCAAGAGCTCAAAGAGCTCAAGCCAACAAGGTCTCCACGTTGTCTCGACAGTCGATGGTCTTAGAACGTCCACGTCAGGCGCACTTGTCGATCTGTGTGAGGCCCTCGTCGATACCCCACAAGAGCAGCGCGCCCAAGGAGCCCACAGTGCTCATCATGCCCTGATCCTTCAAATCAAGCTGCTCACAGTCACATGGTGCAGATTGCGTACTGTTCGTTATGTACACTAGCTTCCCGATCCGAGCTGAAAATTATCGAATGCCTCTGGGATGTGGGGGCCGTGATGTGAGCTTTATGCGAACGGGCAAGCCTTGTTCTTGTACACCCACTTCGAGTCCGCAATCGTCATCAGCTCGTCCTACATAAGCAACACTTGCACTTCTCAGTCTGGCTTGCTTTCAAATGCCCATGTGCCGAGGATTCCTTGCAGAAGCCAGCATTCACGAAAGCGTTCACGAACGAGGAGGCCAAGTTCTGCTTTGCAGAATCCAGTACAGCAGTGGATCGCTTCTCCTGCAGGAAGGTTTCCGCTGTCTCGACAGTCATGTTGAGCGCCGACTTCGCTAGCCGTGCTAATCTGCCATCTGCAAGCATTCCATCAACTTGCTCTGCAAGCCGTGGCAGACTCTATTTCGAGTGACAGGTCAACGAGGAAGGGCGTCTGTGGGCCCTCTTGGCCGGCTGTCGGATGATTTCAATTGCTCACAATTTCTATGAGCCGCTGGTTGCTTGCTCATCAAGGCTGAAGATTGTGGGCCGCAAGGAAGACACGGTCTTCCTTTCACATGTAACGGAGGTCGCGTGCCTCCAGGTGCGACTTGTAGATTTGTTCGGGCAGCTTGGGCTCCAGAACATCAAGCTCCTTCGCGGACGGTCCCCCCCCTCCCGTTACGACACAAACATCAATACTTCAAGAGTCAACTCCTTGGCTAAGGAGATGAAGTGCTTCGAGAGGCTCTCGCCAGAGGCAATCTCTTTCAGCTCGTCATCCTGTCACATGAATGATACAACCGACAAGCTATCCTGCAATGAAATGACATGATTGACGCTCAAGGCGACCTCCCCAAAGTCATGATCGAACTTTCTCCGTGATATCCTCAGGTACGAGAATCATGAGTCCTGCGACATGGTTTCACAATGGCCGTACCGCCAAGTCGCATGAAGGCCATTTGCTTCTGAACAAGCCGGTCCTTGACAGGCTCTGACAAACAGCATGCGGAATGTTTTGGTGACCACTGCTTTTGCGAACCTCGCTAAGGCCTTGCGTCCCTGTGCAGGGCTGCAAACACGTCAAGAATCCAGCAACGGTGTGCAGCCAAGTCGACACACGAGAGAAGCATGAATGAACGATCCAAGCGAGGAATACTGACTCTCGCGAAGCAAAAGCTCCAGAGCTCCGCACTTACAACCGGCCTTCCCTTTTTCAGCCTAGATCATTCAAGGATGCAATGGCCAGCTAGCCTGGAAGCTGCATGTCACTACATTCCCGTGAAGGTGCAATCAGCGCAAGCAGCCAAAGAACGAACCGCAGGGAGGCCCCTGGTGGTGGTCGCGGTCGTGGTCGTTGAAGTCGTCGTCGTGGTGGTGGTAGTAGCAATACTCGTACTATCTTAGTAGTACTTGTACCAGTTGTCGTAGCTGTAGTAGAAGTTGTAAAGCCGTGGGAGAACTGGGGCGAGTCTGAATAGATAAAGAATGCCATTGGCGTGACCCTACGGAGGCGCGAAGCACAAGCCAAGATGGCAACAAGCCTCAACTTCGACGGGAAGCCACAAAGGCAGGAGAACCCAAGCCAAGAAGCCAACGGAGCTAAGCCCGAGAACCCTAGAAGATCCTACGTGTAGAAGCCAAGGAACCAAAACGCTGGTCCGGAGGCCAAGAAGCCGGAACACCAGAAAGCATCAGAAAGCCAAAAAGCTGGAGATTCCAGAAAGCCAGGGGACCAAACGCGCTCAGAAGCCAGGAAGCCCTTGACTGAGCTCTTAGTCTTGATAAATTGATCACGTGGTTTCTTCTTTTGTTTGTTCTTCGATCGCTACTCCCGATATTTCTGTCTCGAGGCTAAGTGCTGTCGGGCCGTTGAGCTCGTGTTTTTTTTGATGCTTCACTCAGATGGAAGGGATGCACGCCACTTCCTCTTCCTGTCACGAAGCTTCCGGCTGAGGCACGAGCTTCACAAGCACCGAACACAGCAGCGACAGCTTTCGCATCGTTGAGCTTCAAGGCGATTCGAAGTGCCCCCACGTACTCCTGAGGTCAAGGCATCATTCGCAAGGTCGACAGCTCAGACTCAGCCGCCTTGTACTTCAAGTAGAGGTTCATGCAGACGTTCAGGTACATGACCTTGTCGGCCTGCTTTGTCCATGCTGTCGCAGTTGCACTCAGAAGCTGCGACTGATACACACATGTCCCGACAGAAAGCCAGAACAACCAGCGGTTCTATAACAGGACGATACATCGGCAACGCAAACAAAGCCTTGCAACGGCTGTCATGTCCCCGCTACCTGAGTTGCCGCAAAGTTGGCAAGGCCCTGTAGGTACAGGCACACCTCGGAACATGCCGTAAGACTCGCCATGCGTGTCCATTGCAGCTGTGGTTGCTCTGTTGAGCCGTGCAAAAGCAAAGTGAATGCGCAGGTTGGCAGGAATTACTGTAAGACGTGGCCCCTTCCGACGCTGCATAGGATAAGACATGGAAAAACGACGGTAGAAGCTTCAGCACCGGACTCTGATGAAGGACGGCTCTTCGCAAAGCTTTTCGATCCTTCGTCCACTCATGGGCTGTAGCGCACAACAACGGTCCCCAAATTTGACTCGCCTCCAACAGCCATGCTTAGACTGAGATCAAGAATGAACAAGACAATGGCAAGGTAGTGATGCACTGGTGTCGTCTGATACGATACGGTGATAGGCCGAAAGCACAACGACTGCTTTGTCGTGCGTCGACTTGAACATTGCCATTACATGGACATTCACAGGTTCTGCCCCCTCGCTGTCGCAACATGCAGGAATGACGTCTGCACTTGGTCAACTTCGCAGAGAAGATCAACGGCATCCTCGGAAGCCAGTCTGCGGGCTCATAGATGTCATCAGGCAGCGAAACGAACCGACGTGACGTGCTCGCTCCAAGAGAGGCGCCACTTCTGCATTGTGCTGCATGTTGAAAGGCACGATCTCCTTCCATTTTAAGACCGCGAAGGGTGAAGATGGGCCAATGGTGGATGGATCCACGACGCTGCCTCAACGAGAGCTAAAAGGTCGCCCACGTCAGTGGCTTTCTCGGTGCGCTCCTTGAACTCCTTGCGACAGGCATGCTGATGGACACGCCTCTCAAATGTCGACACATTAAGTCATGTTGCATCATATTATTTCAATCGAAGTCCGAAGTGGTGACAAGGCTTTGTGCTTCAGAGTCACAGCGAACCCGGCACACCCCGCCTCTCCGATTTCACCGGCAATATTTCGTATGTATTCGTGGCCTCAGCTTGGCACCAAGCCATCTGACTACGAGGTCCGAGGGACTATCGGACTATCTGTGGCTCATCGCACGTTTCATGTGAGCTGCGCTCGAAGTCGCTCAGGGTGGGACCCCAGCTGGTGAGGCCTTCCTTCGTTCCCTCCAGCCGGTACTTTAAAGCCTGCCTCGACCTGAGTCGACGATCTTTCCGAAGTCTTCAAGCTGCATGAGGCACAGCTGAGAGTCCTGCCCTTCCTTCTGCATCGTGGTTGATAGGATGGACAGGACGTCAGCGAAGAATCGCTTCAAGTCGTTCGCCGGCATCTGTTGGACAAAGGGGGGCTGTCTGCTTCGGATCAAGTCTTCATGTTTCGCCTGGGACCCAAATAAACGAGGGTAGAGCTGCATGTGTTGCAATGGCCCGATGAACTTCAGGGTCTGACTACCTTCCATTCCTTGTCACGCTCTCGTGCAAGCAAAAGCCTCGATCCACTGGAAACACAGTACACAAGCATTCAGCTTCGGTCGCTGGATTCACAGTTGGGCTTCCTTTCTCAGTTTGAACATCGTTTGCACCGCCTTCTGGAGGCCAGCTCCGTGTCACAATGAGGTGCGAGTTCGAGAAAACACGTCCTTCGAGCGTCCATCCAAGTCGGGGCAATAACCAACAAACCGCTCCGCATGCGAAGCTTTCCAGTCGTATATTATTCTCGCACACGACGCTAAGCAACCTCACGCCAAGACTTAAACCAGGCGCCTCACGTCGATTGCCGGGAACCTTTAGAAGTTGGATCAACACAGCTCTCGTTCTTCTGGCCGTAAACTTCCGTAAACCTGTTCGGCAGTGAGGCTGGAGCATGCGAATGATGCTCAGCGCTACTTTCGGCCACACGGCGCTTGAATGCTCTGAGCTTTTGCATGCGAATCAGTTCCATCGTTCTTGATTGAGCTTGTGTGCTTTCGCCTGCGTATCTCCTGCTCGTGCAGGCCGAAGTGTCTCAACTTGGGAGGCCGAACTTCCCGAAAGGCACTGGCATACTCTCTCACTTCCACTTTCGTCAGCCAAGCCCCTTTCCCGGTTTTCCAGCTTTCTGCTGGCCGGGCGCCAACAGAAAGTGGTCTGCCCTGCACTTTGCTCTTTGCGCCATCCGGCCGTAAGTGGTCAGGGCGTGTGTTGCTGTTGGGGGGACCCGGAAGTCGGGAGGCCTCGGGAGGCGGAAAGCCGGGCAGCCCAGAGAATTGTCATTCCAGATATTTCAACAAGCAGAACCTGAACGGTGAACCTCGCGACAGCTCGAAGCTCGAAGCCCTTAGCCTGAGCATTTACCGGTGCTTCAAGCTTGTTCCGAATTCAGTTTGGAAGTTGGGATCAATGGCGACAGCATTGGCTTCTGAAAAAATCCCCTGCGTCCCTCCGGCACCTGCCCTAGCGAGTATTCAGCCAGTGGCGCTTGCGAAACGGCCGCCGTTTTGCAAACGAAAAATTGAATCTCAGATCCTCGGGATCCTGCGTCAGCCTCCAAACCTTGATTGTAGCTCCGTGCTTGTGAGCCCTGACATGAGCTTCGACTTGGTTGAACATCCCAGAACCCCGCGGCTATTCAGGCCCTTCGCCGGAAACATTGCTCAGAGGTCGAGCTTACAGGATAGGTCGTGTGAGAATTAAGAGCACTCAGATTTATTTAAGTGAAGCGTCGCTGGAAACGCTTTGAAACGACTCCGCAACTGTTTTGCCTGTCAACGTTTCTCCGAAACAGCCCTTTCTCAAGACATCGGGGAAGTTAGCAACTTAGGCGGTTCTAGCCGTTGACCTTGGCATAGTGCTCCGTCAGGGTGGAGTAATGAGGTCGCAAGAACTTCAACGGCTTCGGAACCTTCGAGAACAACTACAGCGACAAACGCAGCATCAGTTCGATCGAACTGCAGTGCTTCTGAGGCTTGCGCAGATGTCATTGAACTTGTGGACTCCTTGAGCTCCTTCACCATCGCCTGGGCAAGTCGATATCATGTCACAGGTGACCCACTGATATGCCCAGCTCGAAACTACGAGGTCAATCTTGCTGCAAACAGGGCTGTGGTATGAGAAAGAGCCAAGTAGTGGTCTGTGCAAGGACTTAGCAACGCTCACTGTGTGGGGCCGCCCGGCCAGCCCCTGAGTCCGCGCCTCCATGGCCATTTTGGCCACTCCCTGGTCGGAGTCCTCCGGGAAGCCAAAAGCTCTTTTGCATTGCCCGGCACCCATTCGCTAGGGCCCAGAACTTCGCTTCACCATCCGAGGAAAGCGCAGATTGCTGATTTATGTTGCAATCTGGTCAGGTGAGAAGGCGTCCAGAGTGGAAACTGTTTTGATCGCGCAGGCTTTCGTAAGCCGTAGGCACAACTCCCAAACGATGGCAGGTGATGGAGAGCTCTGAATTCATGGGAGCCAAGGCTTCGCGCACACAATCGGCTCTTCACATCTGCATTGATCCGGTCAGGCTCGCATCCTTAGCGTCTATCAGACTATCAGGATCTGTCCATATATCCAAATTTGTCAATGCAGCTGCGTGTCACTCTGACATCCGAAGCGTTGCATGCAGTGGGAGGTGATCGGATGGTTCTTCCGCATTGGGGAACGGCCCGTTGACGTTCCCCGTCTCCTTTGGCAGCTGCTGGCCTTACTGGGCACTGCGGCGATGCAGCAAATCTCAGTGCAGCCCAGCGCAGCCCAGTCACACGCCACCACTTTGAGGCGCCCAGGACTGAACCAAATGTAATCCTCGGTGCTTTTAGGGGAAGCAGGGCTGGTCCGCACGAACTGACGATGTTTGAAGCTCGGCTTCATGCTTGCAAGGCAGGGGTCAAGGGTATCAACGAAAGCCTCCTTGCTCATTGCGGACATCGCATAATTTGTGAACATTGGCTCTTGTCCATGAAAGTCCTGACCCAAGCACTGCAATCTAGTGACCTGTCTCCGCCACCACAGACCAGATACAAGGCACACGCCCTGTTCTCGAACCGTGTACGCCATCACACCACGCAAAATCGCTCAGGAGTTTGTCGGTCGATTGCCGAAGAATCGCACATGCAGTCCTTGTAGGCACTTCTGAGGCCATCAGGGAACTCGGCAATGGGCAATTGTTCAAGTCCATGAACTTCATGCTTGCTGCCCTGCATGCGGCTTTACTTCTCGACCCCCCGCATTGATTGACGCCCAACCCTAACCCAATTTTGGGAACGCAAAGCAGGATTTAGCAATAGCAGGGGAGAGACTTCAATGGCACATTCAGTCCGCACTGTTTTATGCTGTTTTGATGCAGGATGTGCCTGCTTCGAGACGGTAGCTATGGAGCCGCCACTCTCGATCAAACGATAGGAAGACGTGCCTGAGAAGGCTAAACACAGGCTGGGCATGTCAAAGTACAGCAAATCCCCCACCCCGCTTCGCACTCGAAATGCTGGATCCACGGATACCGACGGACTCACAATCCCTCATGCCTGGTTTGATGTTGAAGTCACCCATCAATGCAACAGGTGCCTCTTTGAAACCTGCCATCTTCACAGAGTAAAAACACTTGTTAGGCCCGGCGAGAATGGGATGTCCCCGGCCTTTCTTGACATCAGCGGCTGCAAACCGCTTCAGCCTTGTCTGCACTTGGACATGGGCCGGGCTTTCAATGTTCACACAAGTGGCACTATGCGAAAACATCATGGACCGTGTGAACCTGTTCAGCAGAAGCTGGCTGTGGATGTTCACCGCTCGAACCTTCTCCGTCGTGCCTGGTGCTCTTTACAGTACAATCAGCGGCAGGGTTCTCTGAGTCCTCTCATCTATCAGCTGCAGAGCTCTCTTCTGCAAGCAAGTTGCCGAACAAACAGGGCATGTGATACGTGGCAACACAGAAATCACACGATGTCGCCCTGGGTCTCAGCCTCACCAGGATAGCCTCGTTCATGCCTGGCGTCGCCAAGATAAGACAAGCATGGTGCATGCATCATCAACAAACCCGTTGGCCAGAGCCCCAGCACTCAAACAAAGACACAGCCTCATGCATCACTTGATTATCCGCACACAATTGAGCCGAGCAACGACCCTGTGCAAGCTTCCACTCACCTCCCTCCGTTTCGAATTCTGGAGGTCTGCATCCCAATATGTCCTGCAGCGGTTCAAGCCAGGGGCCACAGTTTGCCACCGTGATGCACTCATCACAGCAGGGAGGGTCCGTCAAGCCCTGGTAGGTGAGGTATCCGAAACGAGCAAGAGGACCAGCTTCGGATCTTGGCCACACTCGCTTCGGAGCTGTGTCAGTCAGCTTGCAGAGCTCCACGTCCAAGACCTGCCCGTGGACGGAGACATGTTCCAGATATTCAGTCAGAGATCGTGATGCAATTTACAAAACCCTGAAAGATGTCCTTGGATGTCCTCTTTTGAATGGAATGCTCCCTGGATTACGTTACTCAAAGCACTGAGGGATTGGCCAGAATCCCAGCATTCGACTGAGGTCTCCAAAACTCGACAAATAGGGCTCTGAGTTGCACAGAGTTGTGACGGAATCCAAGGCTGTCTAACAGAGGATTGATGTGGCTGGATGTTGCAATGGACTCCCGCATAGTCGAGGCTGGAGAACATGGGCCATAGACTGGCAACCAGTCCTTTGAAAGGCTATTTTACAACTCTTACGTCTATGGTCTGAGGGAAAAGACTGCACAGCTGCATTCTAGAGCGGCTGTCCCCCCATCCGCCCGACCGAAGTGTGTCAAACGACATCAAACGCCTACACATGTCCGTCAGCCTGAAAAACTTTTGTAGGCCACGCCATCATCACGCCCATGTAACCTTGGGGCGATGACTGTGCATCAAAGCCTTCGTTGTCCTAGGTCCTAGGTCTCGTTGTCAGACGCTTATGGCACCAGCTCCGGCAGGCTCACAGCAAAGCCCTTCTTCCTGCTGCCAGGGGCCATTCATTTGCTTGCCTGACGACCGTCTTAGACCAGAGGCATCTCAAGTAACAAGGAATTGTGTGAACTCTTCAATCGACTGGGGAGCACCATACTGAGCAAACACCACCGCATATCCGCGCTCTGCAAAGAAAGCGTGCAGGTTCCCTGCCCACTCCAGGTCCACCTCCTCTGCAGGAGCGGATCTGAGAACACATCCTACTTAGTGCTCCCCACGGTCTGCGCCCCTCTGAAAACAACACGGAATCAACCCGAGACTGGTTTCACACCTTCTGACTCGGCGATGAACCTGCAACACAAAAAATAATCTTAGAGCCCGACGTTCGACTCATACAAAGAGCAAAATTGGCCTGTGCCTATGTGTACTCCAATTAAGGAGTCCTGTCGCTGTCCCAGGTGTTCTCCCACAACCGCTTCTAGGCTTTTCACAACCCGAAGCAAGACAAGGGCAGAACCACGTCGATCTGGCCTGCAATGCGATGATCCTGTCGTCGTCGACGGCCTTCTGCATCCGGTTCAGGATTTTTGGCCATCGAGAATCTTTCGCTAAGTCCTGCAGAGTTCGGGAACGGTGCATTCGGCTGATTCGTTGGCACAACTACGGCAGCATGCCTCACATGTCATTGTGTCCTCGCGTGCATAGGAGGGGTACTGCTGTGGCGATGCCAAGCGAGGTGACAAGACATTGTAGGTCGTTAGCTTCAGGTCCTTCATGGGACAATCGAGCAGAAGTGAATCATGCCAACAGGAATCTGCCACGATTTAAGGATGGATCTTGAACCTGGTCACACGCCAAGAAGCAGTGTCACACCTCACGAGCTTCGTCGACAGCCAGGACCTTTGAACTGCCGAGCGCAAAAAGTGCTGACGGTTCAATGCCACCCAAGTCAAAACTTACATAGTGTTTGCACTCAGTGCAGAACGCAGAATCTTGCCGAAAGGTTGCATCGCTCCGGCCATCGCCGCGGCTGCGCCCAGCTTCTGAAATCGATTCCATCTGGCGGAAGCAGTTTCCTCGAGCTTGAGATGAGGCTAGCGGCTAGCGGCTGTTGACCCGAACAAAGCGGCAAATTGGATGCTTACGCAATGCAGCGCCGGCGCATTGATGCCACAAGCTGAAATGCGAGCAGCGGTTTGGCACCATTGGATCGGACAGGAGACACGCATAGCTAGGGGCTCTCTCAAGCACTGCGCCTTCTGAGTCTGAACTACATATCCGGCTGCAGTTCTGACTCCCGCAATCTGTCGAAATGGATCTTGAATTCAAGGCTTTCTTGCATTCTGCTTGCCACTCTGAGCCAGCTTTCACAGAAGCTCTGTCCGGTGCACTGTGCTTGCACTGGTGGCGACGTGCTTGGCCAGTCCTGTGCTCTCTGGACGAGGAGTTCGAGTTCCTCTTTCTTCTGTCGGTCTTCTTCGGACAGCTCCTTTGCTTGCGAGCTTTGCATCAAGGTAGCTCGAGTTCTTGACTGCATCATGGAGCAACCCATCGTAAGATTGAGTCCTCCTCCTTGTCCTTGACGCTCTTTTTCTTGTTGTCCTTCTTCACCTAACCAGCTTTACAGTGATAGCGCTCTTCGAAGATGCAGCTTACAGCAGTACCTCGGGGGGTTCGCCGCCCTTGCTCGGAACAGAGAGGGCAACGGCCTAAGGACACCGGTCGTACCAGTTGAGCAGCGACTGTTGGTGATGCAGTGATGCTACAGGCCCCCGACATCCTTCTCACTCTTTTCGTTGACCATATTACAGGTCGCCCTCGCCTTGACGAAGTATGCGAGAGTACCAACATCAGCTTCAACATGTGCAGAAACGCACCTCCCCCCGGCTGCGCGGCGCACGCAAGCCGGATGCAGGGGGCCTGAATTGAATTCCCTGAGCCAAGGCACTGTCGATTGGACGGAGTTCGAGCAAATTCGCTGCCCTGCTGTGCATCGTTCTGCAAGCTCAGTCTCTGACGCAACATTGCAAGTAAACTCCAATGAACCCCGGACATCTGTGCAGCACATACACCATGTCACATATGTGACTACCAAACACTCTCCGCACTGTTCTTCAGGACGAGCGCCCGAGTGAAACAGGAAGCAAGCCGGCTCATGGCATCGCTCATAGCATCACACCTGCGCCAGCAAAGCTTGAGAATACGGATGTAGCAGCAAAGCGCTGGTGGATGCTGAAGGGCCGTCCATTCGTTTGTCTGAGCCCAGCCACTTCACCTATGCGATGTTGCTACCAGAATGGTCGTGGCACAAGTCAGGTCAGTTTGATTTACCGAAATCTCAAGTCAAATGTCTCACTGTCGCACTCTTCCAATCCGATGCACAGTGTCGCTTCCGAATGGAGTGAATTTGACGAGACTTTCCTTGAGACGGATTGCAGGATACGGGTCGGCAGGAGGACCGATAACGAAAGCAGCCCGCGAAAAAGCGCGTTGCTTGCAAGGCCCTGCTCTCTGCCCGTGCAAAATTACCATCCTTCTGCTGATACATCCCGAAAGTGTCCAAGACCCGCAGACAGGTCTGCTGTGGTTCTCCTGAAATGCATCCGCCCGGACATGGCAATGTTGCAAGGCTGATGGCCTTCGCGCGCACAGTTTAGTATGAACCCGATCCTGCAAAGCACTCCTGTCCGTTGTTGCTGCACTGCTGCGCTGAATGCTTCCATACTAGTCTCCAAGTGCTCGCAGGCTCACAAGATCCCTCCGCATGAAGCCACTTGCCAACTCCATTAAGTCGTGGGGTCCAACAGGATGGCCAACACCATCGTGGTTCTACAGTAACCGCTGTGAAACTCTAGTGTTCGGCCACGCAGCCAGGTTCGGAAATGTTCGGAAACTGTCGTGACTCGACGCCGGTGTCCTGGCTTAAAAAACAGACCCGACGCAGTGCCATCGAGGGGTCCCGTGCGGTTGCAAAAGAACGCCGAAGTGCACCAGACTTCCGCAGGGTGCCTGAGTTCTCCCGACGGCTTCGTCTGAGTCCTGCAAGGACCAGTTTATGTCATGCAAACTTGCGGCACATGTGGAATGTAGACCTCATAGCAAATGCTGGCGACTGCTACGTTACATGATTGTTTCGGAGATCCTCGCAATTATGTCTGAGTCTCATGTGGGGGATCATCAGAGCTAGCTCCGTCAAGTCTAGCTGGATCTAGGGTCTTCCGCGCTCCCGAGTTTTCATGCGCCGCAGTGTGAGATCTGTGATGCCAGCATTTCATTCTTTGGAATACCAGTGGGAAGCTATGCAAAAGAGAGACAGAAGACATGCGTCATCCTGCCATCCCGAACACTAGGACTTGTCGGACTTAGACTCTTTGCCTTCCTTGCTCAAGGAGAAATCCTGGCCATCATCATCTTCCAGCCCTTCCACATAGGCATCAACAAGCGCATCGAGCTCCTCGGCCTCAGTGTCCAACTCGGAAGTACCTTTGCCTTCGTCGTCATCTTCAGGCTTGGACAAAGTGGCAAACTCACCTGCCCTCATCCTTGCCTGAAAGACACGATAGAGGGAAGTGGATCGAGGCTGCCCATCAACTGTCTTTCGCGGCTTCAGGCTGGCAACCCAAGAGAGCGCAGTGGCTGCACCACCTAAAACGACCACGACAGAAAGTGCCAAGCCCAGATTTGGCACTTCAAAGTCTGCCAGTGCTGGCAGTGGAATCACCGATGCGGCAACTGGTACTACGAAGTGCGGCTTCTTCCCTAGCAGCGGTACGAAGCTCAGATTTAGATGTATGCAGGTGCCAAAGGCCAGAACTCCGAACCCACAGAGCTTGCCGTGGCTGCCATGGCTGTTTGCTGCATATCTCCTGCACCCATGATACATTCCGACTTGACCTTGCCTTTTGGCATGGCTCGAGCTTCGCAGCTGCTACAAGAATGCGTCACAAAGCTGTGCGCGCGGAACAGCCCACAGCCTGAACCTACTTTACAATCGCTGGCGGCAATCTATCTCAAGCGGTCCTCGTCTGGTCGATGAGCCTGTTCGGGCATGGGCTACATCCACTTCATGCTGTGCCTAATGTTCGATGAATAGAGCTGGCTCTTATAGCATGTCTGGGAAGGCCTGCAAGCTTGGGATTTGCTCATAGTCGACGGCAGATGGTGCACGCTTGGCAACCTGCCAACTGTGCAAACCGGAGAGATCATTTCGGCTCTCATGGTGTTTGCTACAGCGACAGGACTTGCAAATGCACATCCAACAAAACGCTGCCATGCCAAGAAACCCGTCGCTGCGTGACGAAGGGCTGCAGAGCCATGCAGATGCACATGGCCTCACTTTAGTAGCCGTATGTGCAGAGGGATTGTGTGTTTCTGTTCCTGTACTGTCGCAGGCTCCGACCACTAAAGTGGCACCCAAGGCCAGGAGTATCCAAGTCCCGGCTGAGTCCTGCTCAAAGGCTAGGATAGCTTTGTCGATCACAGACCGCTGGGAAACGCAGTCATGCCTCATCCATCAGGCTTGGTTTGCCTGGCGAGCTGCCAAAGGATTGTCACACCTTCTTACCAATCTCAATATCAAGACTCCTGGGCCTTGTGAAGGCATCGAAGTCACAGAAAGCGGTGTAGATGCCAGGCCCGCCAGATTGAGGTTGTGCTCTGACTGCCTGTAAGCAACGATCTGCAACGATGCTCGGGTGAGCGGTGTACTCAGCGTCTGGTTCGGACGTGCTCGGTATTCGGTTTCCCTTGGACGGTCGGCCATCTCTTCTGATTCACACGTCTCCCCCGCCCGATCCTGTGTGTCTCTGTCCTGGCCCAGCCCCGAAGGTGCTCCGAAGGTCATATCAAGGCCCCCCAGGCCCTCCATGGCCCTCCGGTGCTCGCAAGGCGAGTGTGCACAGCCTCAAGCTTCAAATGCCTCGATCCAACACCCCATGTCAGAGCAAGCTCGTCCTCGGCCTACACGGGGCTCCCTGAGCTCTCGGAGACCCGGGCCTTTCTGAAGTCTGCGAAGCTGTCGTCGTCGGCATCCTGATCAGAGAGAATCACAAATTCGGGGTTCTTGTAAATAGTGCCATGCATGGCCCAGTCGAACTTATTCAGCGACTTGCTTCGGGAGAATAAGGATAAGGATTTGCAAGATTGCAAGCTAGCTTCAGAAGGGGAACAGCCAGCTGTGGACCGAATGTATCCAGAAAGTGCAAGAGATCTGTTGGACGGTGTTCGAACTCCGTGCTGTTCAACATGTTTCTGCTGCCCTGTCTGTCTGGTATTGTCTGAGACCGCGCTGTTTTATTCGCCGGGAAGGCTACATAACGCCCTGCGATGGAGTTGTGCTTACATCACTCGCTCATGCGACAACGTGGCACCGCAGGTGGAAACTTCTGCTGTCAAACCGACAGACAGTACGCCGCCTCAGCCGGCCAAGCGTGCCGCTGCTGGCATCACTTCCGCGACCTAACCCGTGCCTGTGCCACGCCTTTACACACTACGGTCCCTTGAACGAGGCATCTCATCCCCTGCCACTAAAAGCCTGCGAGCCCTACTGGAGTCACTGGAGACGGTGTTGCTCAAAGCATCGCGACGTCTTGCGCTGCTCTTGGCTACATTTCCGAAAACAGTACATGACCAACTGACTAACTTTTGCACATTCTGCTGCACATCGACCACCATCCTCGTTGCCAATGCTGATGATGAAGGTTTGGCTGCCACCTAGGGCGACTTACCATGGTTTGTCTTGAGATGCTGCATGCGACACGATCAACGACCTTCATGCTGCTGCAGGAATCCGCGGGGTTGTTGAGCATGCAAGCCACGAGAAGCTTCCACGAATAACCGTCTTGCATGCGCGTTGCAACGCTCTTGACTGCCAGCATTTGTCTTGGCATGGTTTTGGCAATGATCTGTGGGTGCGCTTGACCTCGCCCGATTGCTTCCGCAGTTTCTGAGTCTTGCCCCACGTGCCTCGTGCGGGATGGGACTGTTCCAATTATTCTTCTCCTTCTTCGTGCCCTCCAGACCAGTACATCTCTGTCTCTGGCTACCGATGTAACAGTACTGTTCGTCTCTTTCCTCCTTTGCTCCGCTTCGGCTCTCTCACTGTCGTGTGCCGGCAAACGAGAACTATCAACCGTTGGCGGGGACAAGATTGGCGTACGATCTTGATCAGCTAGGTCTGGACCAAATCGGGGGGGGGGGGGCAACATGACACGCAAGCTTTGGTCACCACCGAACCCGGTGGGCCAAGTTGCCGCGCACAGGCTTGGAAGACTTGGTCGAGTATCGCTCATGGGCGAGAGGGGTTTGACAATCCTGTATCTTGTATCTTGTTTGCCTGTACCACTTGAAACACTTGCACCCTCCCGACCCCACCAGAACTGTCCACCCGACCCAGCCACCCATTGACCCACCCACCCAGCTGCCCACCAGCCGGCCCCCTGCCACAACGAAACAACCGGTTCACAGACATGCGGTTGCGAAACTACCAATAACTTAAACCCAAAAAACCCTTAACCCTACAATGTTAATACTGAAAATGGTTTCGCAACTAACTACAAACGCTAAACTCTAACCCTAACTAAACCCGTAAACCACACGCGCAGGGCGCGTGTAACCCCAAACCTTACGCCGCAAAGCCCCAACCGCCTAAACCCTAAACCGTAACACGCGAAACCCTAAACCCTAAAACCCCAAACCCTATGATACGAATACCTATAAAAACATGGAGAGCAGGTTGCTGTGGGGCCTGGGTTTTTGCGCCACTGCTTGTATCATATTTACATTCAAACAAAATCAAGCACTTGAAAGGTACACGCAGCATTACACCACAAAGTCCCGCACACTTCTTTTCCTGAGTAATGTATTCAAGGTCAGGTTTAGCCTGTGTCTAATCAGACGTCAACGGGTACGACATGTAGGCATTGGGTGGCTACGTATTCAAAGTTCTTCCCACAACAACTATCACAGGCAGGAAACACCGTAAATACCGTGTATTCTGTACTTTATCAAACCAAGTCTTGGGGCAGGCCACATAGACTCGACACGCGCGACATGGAGCCTTTATCTCATCCCTGCAAGACTCGTCATTCTATCAAGCCAACCCACCCAACACCAGAACCATTGCATCATCTGCTTTGGCATGCAGTGTTCGGTTGTTGGAGAACCTGTAGGTATTGAATTAGCGTACTTATTTGTACTTATTTGGAAAAGTAAACAGGATTCGAAACAAGTGTTTAGGTCAGTGCTTTGAATTTGTTATTGCATGTCAACAAGTCAACAAGTATGAGTGAGTTCAACTTATGTATTAGCATGTGTGACTTTCAACGAACCAAGGAATAATGAAAAGCTGCCTGTGGTTAACAAGTCTGCTACTTGTCGAAGATGACTCAAATCCTGTTTGCGCTTGTTCATGTCCTGCTGGCTGCTGTAGGTACTATCGCTTTGGTTACCCACAGTCTACAATCCAAAATATCGAGCGGAATGATAAAGCTGTACGAACCGTCGTGGTCCAGGCCTTTGCATGATCTTGCATGGCCTTCATGTCCACAAATATCTGTCTCAGAAACTCTTTTGGCTTGATATACACTCAATCCTTTCATATGCCTCTGGTCCTCTAAGGTTATAAAGGTGGCAAAGATTGGACCTCTGAGCTTGTAGCAACAACACTTGTGTTTACACAGGAAGACAGGTATACGCATATGTGTACAATATTCCAAAGAAGTGAACCCTGTGTTTATGGACAGCTCTGTTGTTTATAAACAAGGCCAGGTGTTTATCAACAATCAACCACATAACAATGTGTTTCCCATACGCAGAAACACCGTAAATACCAGGGGGTTCATAGTTTTCTCAATCAAACAAGGTCTTGGTCTAAGCCACACGAACCGGTACGTGGCAAAAATCCAGTTGACGTATCAGTGTGTCAGTGTGTAAGACTTGCAGTACGGTGAGGTTTGTAACTGGTTGGTTGGAGTCAGTGACGCGGTGATGGTGCTGCTGCTGACGGAGGGAGCAGTGTGCAGGGCGGCGTTGGCTTTTCTTTTGGGGGAGAGGGGCGGGGAGCCGCCCCCCTCCCCCCCCTCCCCCCCCTCCCCCCCCCCCCCCCCTCCCCCCCCTCCCCCCCCTCCCCCCCCTCCCTCCCCCCCTCCCCCCAGACCGGTGTTTATAAACACATACATATCTACATGTCTGGCAGGCTAGCTGTTTATAAACATATACAACATCAGTTCTGAAGAGGAAGCACATGATTGTGACGACACGACATGTTTATAAACAAGCCCGGTGTTATTCAACAGACCTCGTGTTGCACAACAACTCTTTCTTGATGTTATCAACCATCCAAAGCAACAACATATGCGTACACACGCACCAAACTAGTACACAGTTCAGAGAACCCCACGTGCAATCACTCGAAACATACAAAACCTTTCGAAACATACAAAACCACTGAAAATAGTGGGTTGCCAAAACGCAGGCCCCACAGCCTCCTCTTCTGAAAAAATAACTACTTGCTGCTAACTACAAACCCGAATTCCTAACCCTAAACCCGTAAGCCGCACACGCCGGCCGCGCGCGCAACCCTGAACCCTAGACCCTTAAATCCCAAACCCTAAAATTCAAAAATCCAAAACCCTGTAATACGAATACTCATTCTACTTATAACTACCAACTACAACCCCTAAACCCTAACTTTAAATTTCTGAAGCGCACGTGCCGGGCGCACATAACCCTAAACCCCGAAAACACAAACCCCGAACAGGAAATCCCAACAGCCTTAACCCAAAGCCATAAGCCGCAAACCCTAAGCCCTACAAACATCTACACACCAGAAATACCTATAATATTCATACTCATATAAAACTAGTTATAACTGCAAACTACAAACCCTAGTAAAATCCCATACCCTTAACCCTAAAATCCCTGACCCCTAGTCTCTGAACCGCAACACCCCAACAGCCTAAACCCTTAACCCTAAACTGTAAAACCCAAAAGCCCTGTAGTGCCAATAGTAGAGAATAGTAGTACTACTTGTAACTCCTAACTACAACGCCCAAAACCCCCCAACCCTAAACGAGTAAATCGCACGCGCCGGGCGCGCATAACCCTAAACTCTAAACCGCAAAAACTGCCGTAAAACCCCCAAACCCTCATTAAACCCTTCGGGGGGGGGACAAGGCGGGCAAGGGATTGCATAGGAGGTGCTCAAGCCGTGACAGTGATACAAGTGGCGCAAGTGGTACTAGATTGCACGATTGCCATGCCCCTCCCCAAGTTTGGCAAGATTGTTGGTAGTCTTGCCCCACCCTCTGCCCAACCAAGATTGAAAGGTTGGCAAGATTTGGGTCTGTGGCGACGCCCACCAAGATTAGCAAGATTACCAAGATGAACAAGACTTTTCCAAACCCGATCGATTCTCAATTATTAATGCACTGTCGCCCGCTGCGCAAGTGTGCCAACTCCAGCTGCAGCCTTGCTTACTGTGTCCATACTATGTTTCCAGCAGCACCTCGAGTATCACAGTAAACAAAACGAGCCACGAAACGCCCGTTCAAGACATCTCGCAAAATGTACCGTCACTGGACGGCGCATGAAATCGGACAAGTGGCTGGAGAAGCTGGCTTCGAGTTTGAATCAACCACACCGGGAGTACTCGCGGCAGCGCAGAGCAAGCTCATGCTGTCGCCTCAGCTCGGAAGCTGGGCAAACGCACAAAGCAACAACACTGAGGATGTTGCCAGATGCATCTCTGCCGGCGGGCAATGCATAAACTTGTCGAGACGACCTGTGCATCGCACCGCAATGGTCTCGTTTGATGAGATAGAGGATGCCAGCGCTGGTGTCATGTTCATGGTTTGAACACAAAATACCCGATGCTGTCGCCGAGGCTCAAGTGCAAGCCTTTAGAAGCCCAGTTTTGGCATGTGCAACTCATCAATTGTTCAATGCGCAATGATCATCGGGTGTCATGCACTACGAAGCAGTTTCACTGGAAGTCAATCGGCTTCACCGTCTGTCGAGCGACTGCTTGGAGATCTGTGTGGAGCCGGGAATCTCTACCAGCCTCAGAGTGAACATGAGTGTACCACGTTGACATGCTTTTTGTTGCAGCACGTCAGGAGCAGGCTCAGTGCACTGACAAGCTGAGGTCCCCGATGCCTGGCACAGCAAATGTCGCCAGCGGTGCATGCTCTCTCAGTGGAGCAGTCACGGCGTAACTTCACTTGGCAGCGTCAGTTATTGTCCCGTTCCTCTCTGCTGTACTGTTGCCTTCAGTACAATGCCTTCTAGACCGTGACCGCGATGCCTACACCATTGTTCAGCTCAATGTGGAAACAGGCTCCAAACTCGCGGAACCACTGGCCGTGAGAGGTACAGTGGCACACACACTACGGGCAGACCTCTCAGGGTGCTACGACTAGCTACTGGGAGAATCATCCATTCACAGTTCCATCGTCCATAATCAACATGAGGCTCAATCCTGAACTTGGTTGCAACAAACCGCGATTGTGACAAACAAGAAGCATCTTCAGGCATGCTCAGACAAATGGCGTTGTCACAGCCTCCGCCACACAAGTCTGCAATCTTCTTTGGCCCTCTGGCTCCCTGGACCTCTCAAACATTGCCAAGCAAGCGTTGCACTTCGTGCTCTTGTCACTGCACATTCAAACCGACTCCAATCGCACGGTTCAGGACTGTTGTGCAAGGTGACATTTGGAGCAACCAGTCTCCGTGTAAGTCGTGCCTGGCAATGTACATGCGAAACTCTTGGGAGGATCGGCTTGGAATAGCATTGGCCTCCGTGTCCCGGGTCATTCCAAAATGCACAGCGGCACAACGGTGACGCAACACTGCCATGCCGTGCCATGCCGGCCTTCCAGGCGAGGATCCCGTGTTCAGCGGTCACCATTTCGCGTGTCTCATCAAGATCCTCGCAGAATCTGGAACTTGCTTTGTACAGAGAAGACATGCTTACATTCTGCAAGTCCTCTGCGCCCTTCGACACGAGCAGGCCGATTGCATCACCTGTTCCATTGGTCCGAATCTGTACAGCTGTGCAGTGCTGTGCAGACTGTGCAATTTTCGAAACCAACTTCAGCCACGACCCAAGACGAAACAACGTCGGAACTGTAGATGGAATGACGGGGACAAAGGGATGTGAGACAAACACAAAACACTCGGGCGTGCAACACCTTGCAGCCCTTCACTTGCATGCTCCGATACCCGCGATTTTTTATTGATATACATGCTCGCCTGCGGCAACCTTCAGAACTCTAGCATGCTAAGGTGGCACACTATAACAAGGTCTTTCTGCAAGTGAAAAGGGCCGGTGCCCGCCGCCGAGATCTTCAAGCACTGAAACTAGCAAGGAGAGAAGAAAGCCCGCCCGCAACTCGACCCTCTCTTTTTTTCGCCGGGAGCGAGCATACTATTAGGTTGGAACAAAACACGGTGCAGCCAGATGTTACAGTCTAGCTAGCAAGACCGCACCTGCCGTCCGACGTGCGCCAGCTAACTGTTAAGCATGCAGAAAAAGGGCGCACCGCAAAAGTTTTATTCCCACTGGGCGTGGAGGGCGGGGAAAATCGACACAAAACTACGCGTTTCTGTCCAAGCGCTGTGATGTGCCACTTCGGACACCCGGATTGAGCACACATACAGCTGCTAAAGTGCTGCAATTCACAACAACGTGTTGCGTGGTCGCAAAGCACAGTCTCTCTATTGACAAAGCAGCTCAAACAACTAACAACAAACGCATGTTAGCACACGCACACAGACCCCAGTCCTGCTGCCCGCAGGGACCAATTCCACAGTGCTAGATGATCCATGATGATCCCCACTTTGCTGCACGCGTGTGTGCACCCCGCAAGGAGGTCCGCACCCGCATGCGACCGCAACAGGACTACCACCCGCCCACACACCCACCCCACCCCAGAATCACCCACAAAGACGCTAATGCGGGAATGCGCACGATTAGCGACAGGCCGACACTGCCTGCAGCTGCCCCTTCAGATACGACCCCGCGCACAGCAACGCGCAGAACCTGCGGCCGGTGCTCTTGCGATTCCATGCCACGGCTGTATGCTATATACCTTATGATCTGACTGGGCTCAACATGGCTCGGCTCCTTCCCCTGGCTGCCGGTCAGGCCGCGATTGGTGATCCTGAAGACGGGTGAAAGTGGCCATGTTCAAGTATGAAACAGCTTGAGGCAGGAATGGGCTTGACGGTAACTGTAGAAACGCGGATAGTTGACACTGCTGCTGTCAAGAGTTTCTGGAGACCGGACCCTCTGCTTCGACGACATGGGTGCCCTTCATGCATGTCGATCCCTTGGAGTTCTCGGCGAGTTTCATACAGGCATGACATGGCATGACTCATGATGACTCACTCACTTGTCGATCTCTCGTTGTGCACCAGCCATTAGCCGACTTTGCTTGCATGCTAGTGCTGCTGCCGGCTGCTGCTGTCCGTCACCGAGCTGGCCACGGCTAAGTGCGGCTAAGTCCATGTGTCGGCACAAAACTCCGAGGCACAACATGTTCGACTTTAGTGTTACATACGCAGCAACTGCGCGATGCTTAGCCTCAACTAACGGGCTCTCCTGAGCTTTAGGAGATGGTGTGGAGGGCCTCCTGCAAGAGCAGAAAGGTCTGCACCTTGTCGAGGCGAATGTTGCGGTGGAAGCGACTGGCAACACTGTGTTCAAGCTGTCGGGTGCCTGATGGCGGAAGTGGCTGCTGAACCTTTCTGCCGCAAGCTTCGTGTATGAGCCCTTCGCAGGTTGCTGCAAGAGGGGTGGCTGTGGCCGGTACCCATTCAGTGCCCAACTCCATCCCAGCCTTGCCGACCACGTACCTTCTTGACATCATCTCTGAGGCATGTGGTGTGCTCGCACCATGCCGAGCTAGACTTGGCTCACAAAGCACGGTCGAAGTTGCGTGTATCGATGCCGTCGATCTGTGATGATGGAGGCCAGAAGCCGCCACTTTCAGGCCCCACCTGAGAAGCGAGTCGAGTGAACCTGGGGACCCATGATTGATATGCGTCATCATGAATCTCGCAGTTGCAGGCACTTGTGACAGTGGGCCTCTGGAGACATCGAGATGATATGCCTCGGCTGCAAATTTTCATACTGCAAAGGAGGCGCGTGGCATTAGTGCTGCTGCTGATGCTGTCGCGATACCTTGCAGAGTACATCCAATCGTCGGACTCCCCGGAGGTGGTGTAGCCCTGGGCGCGGTCAAGTCGTGCAAGTCTTCCTGTCACTGTGCAGCAGTTTGATCGTACTGCGGTCTTCTGGGGTCTGCGCCACGGTCTTAATCGCGGGCCCGAACTTCTTGTAACCTGAGACGAACCATTTGCGCCAATCGAACGACTTGTGCTCGCAGAGCTTATCCCCCCAGTGAAAGACGCGGCTGAACGTATGTGACATGTGCCCAGGTGGGGGGTCCTGAATGCCGCATCTACACTTGAGTTTAACATGTTGAACGTCTTTGCAATATGTGTGCGACTTGTTGTGACTTGATGCAGCCAACCTCATCGACACGAATGAGCCTCCGTCGCGGAAAATAGGCAACATCAAGGGTCACATGGCCGCGAAAGGGATTGGAATTCCAAGTGACGGTCGCATATGCTCGTACCATTTTCGGATTTGACCGGGACCGACGGCCACGGCAACAACTTGGCAGGCCACAGTCCTCAAAAATCTTTCGGATGCTGATAGCTGCCATAGCCTTCAACTTCTGACAGCTTTTGATGTTCGTAGTTCATGGATTTGCTCACATCTGCTCATCATTTAGTAGTTCTTGTTGAGAAGCCTCCAAAAGAAAGGCTTCAGCAAGGGTCGCCGGAATCATAGAGGCATCAACCGAGAGACGAACAACGCCAGCCAGTGTCATGCATGCACCCAACTTCTCATCTGCATGCCTTCATAATCTTTGACCAGGGCCCATAATTCGCAAAGACGGCTTCTGGTCTAGCCGGAAAATGCCGGAAAGAGATGAATACAGCTGGGTGCCGAGAGTCGCTACAGCTTGAGCCGGCAAAAATCTTGGACAAGGGTATATCGCTGTTTAACCCGTGGATGTCTCAACATGAGTCTGCCTTCTCGGAAAGAACTACTCTCCTGGATCCCTAGTGCACATGCAAAAGACCTCCTTGTCGAGGTCCCTTCGTCAGGGACTTCTGTTTCGCGCAGATGCAGCGTAGTCGAGCGGTTGCTGCTCTGCTATGAATGGCATACTTAAGAGGGGAATGTGCTGCCAACGAGACCATCTTGATGCAACCAACCTTTACACGAAAAAGGCCCTCAAGATACTCCAGTGGTATAGCATTCAAGAAGCCGAAGACCCGAGCGATCTCCTGGTACACCTTTTTGTCCTCTGCAGGCATGAGGTCCTGGGTTGCCCAGTTGAACCTTGGCAGGTGCGTTCACCCGCATGTCAGAGCGCAGAATGCCACATTACATGTTGGCTTCTGAGTGCCCGCGGGTGTGTCAGCATGCTGCCATAGGCGTGGAAGTTCATGGCTGTCTTGAACACGTTCTCCTCATCACACATGTTCAGGAGCGCTATGTGCATTGCTGCATTTCTTCAGGTATCGGTATCGGTAGCATGGATCTGCAACGCGTGCTGAATCGTCGGTCCTCGCAGATTTTCTTGAAGGCTTGCGTCTCAGGCTCGGAGAATGGTTGCCTCGCATATCCCGCTCAGAAATGGGCTGCCATTTGCAACTCAGCAAGGACTCGAGGGCAGTAATTGTTCCGACAACCCTGCCGCTGTTGGGCTGCTTGATGGCAGTCGTTCCAGTTTGATCATAAACAAAAATTCTCGAACTCTTACTATCAGACTATCACACTTAAGGCTCCGTCTCCGGCCTCCAAGACTGAGTTCTGCCTTGTGCAGCCCTTGAATCTTTGGTTTGCATCGCGTTGCTTACCGCCCGACCAACAGTGGCAAATGTCGCCTGTGTAAGTGCACAATGGCTGTGGCAGCACATGCGAGCTACCAGACTGGGTTTTGAATCGTCTACAAGTTGACGAGCGATTTCTGCTGTGGGCCGGCGGAATGAAGACCGTTCCAGCAATGGTTGTTGGGCTTGGAAGCTAAGCTACAGGCTGGGGTAGATGTGGACTCTTCATGTTCTCTTCGACAACTCTCGAACAATAAGCGAGCCTCTGAATTCGAAGCCAGACAGACCCCCGCAAGGAAAATTTTGTCCAAACTAGCAGACATACGCCGGTGCGCCAAACTTGTGGCTGAGGTCCGTGCTAAAATCCCCACAAGGGCCCTGAAGCTTGAAGCCCAAACCCAAGATGCCGTAGAGTAATTCTGATTCTGACATCTCAGCCCGTGACGATCCACCGTGCTCTTCGCTGCATCCACCAAAGCTGCTGGACCAATGCACGGCAAAGTTCCTGCTCTGTGACGATGCTTCCTTATCGCCTTCGACTCTGCGACTGGTGCGGCATGGCTGCTCCTGTTGATGTCGACACCGCCATCGACCGACGACCTGCACGTCGGTCGCCGGTTCTTGCGAATCACCTGGCTCAAAGAAGCTGGACCGCCCAATTTTTGAGTGCGCATTTCCTGAAACTGCGGCGTGCCTTGTTGCGTAAACCCTGACACGCCGATCAGCTGTGGCTCTCTCAAGGATGATCAACTCTTGAGCCTTGTTAGCAATGTAGCCGTCAGGGTTGACAAAGGGCAGGAACCAGATTTCGCGCATGTTCAGAACGTACGTGGCCTGCAGAAGGTGCTAAAGAAGTAAAGGTCTCAAGCTTGCCTGCTTTAGTGTGTTTAAATTAAGATTCAGAAATTTAAAGACCCCGAGGCTGAGCCTATCTCACTTCTCACCACCTAAGTGGGAAAAAAGTGCCAGTGCTCGTAGAAGTATGATGAAGTATGAATCAGTTTCCTGCTCACTTCTTTGCTGGGTTCCCTCCCCTTTCCCCCCCCTGCAATTCCTTCTCCCTCACTGCCTCTCTGCCCTCTATTTCCTCCTGCCCCTGCCCACCTCCGCTCCCACCGCCCCCAACCCATCTTCTCTTCTTTGTTGGGTTCTGTTTCCTTCCCTTCCCTCTCCCTGCTTCCTCCGAGCTTCTTCGCACTCCGTGTCCCCCCTGCCGCTTCTTGCGGTGACTGCACCGGAAACTTAAGCACTCAATCCCAAACCCTGGCCTTGGACAATATTATACAATATTCTATTTGGCTGCATAAACGGCTGCTGGCTGCGGGCACGCTCGGAAACGGCTCTCAGGCGGCTCTCGCGCTGGCAGTTCAATTATTGCCGTATGTGCTTCGGCCAACCAACCTCCCGCCCACAGAACAAGTGTGAGACATGACATGGTGCTGGCAAGAGCCCGCATTTGCCAAGCCGCATCAGGATCACCACGGCTATACTTCTCCAGCAAATGACCGAGGAAGTACAGCAGGACAGTCAAGCCAGCTGGCCTTGCGCTCGCTCATGCTCGCTCGCAGAGTTCCAGGCATGGCCAAGATGAATGCTGGGAGTCGGACTCGCGAGCATGCATGAGAGCTGTCAGCAGTGCTTGAGGCTTGCTTTGCCTGATATTGATAAGAGTAAGCAGCAAGGCTACTGGTCATGTTCGACGAGCCTGCCAGCTGGGGTGGCCAAAACGTACGCGTAAATCGGCCTAAGGCGTATTGGTAGCACAACACATTCTGACATACCAACGAGGATGACGGATTTCTCAGCTCGTCGCCGACTCTGGAAGCTCGTTCCTATCCTCGGAGCAACGATGCATCGACAGCAGCCGCTGAGCGCAGGAGGGCAGCCGCGGGCCGAAGCTGAGTGCAAGTCTGCCGCTTCTCAAGCTCGTTCGGGTTGGAGCGGAGGAACTGCTCGAGAAGCTCGTTGGCCTGCCCGAAGCGACGACGGGTTTTGGGACGTTGGCCTTGGCTTCCAGGCTTCCACCTCCTCGTAGCTTGGGAACCCTTGCACACTGCCATGATTGAGCTTGTCCTCACTGAAAGGATCAGAGTCAGATACTCCTACAGCAGGAAGCCGAGGTCTTCGCTGTCCATGAGCTGCTTGCCAATGTTGCCCTTTGCGCTATACACGCAATGGCGAAGAAAGACCTTGCGAGTGATCTAATATGATCAACATCAACTGACCACAGCCCACGGCAAGATGGCATCCGAGAGCTGATGCACGTCAACTCAGTGATCCGAGCTTACGGCACTCTCTGGCCCATAACTCTCCCAAAGAACGGCCAGCGGGTCGGTGCATGCCATTGGCCTACATTGCCTACATCTTTACATCTCGCAGCTGGGTGCAAAAACATGGTCAGAAATGCATTGGTGGTCCGCGGTCTGCTGCTGAATCTCGTTCCACAGTTCGTCGACTCTTCACATAAACCGAAACATCACGGATAAAGCGACATCATCTTGTGGCAGTCCGAAGGCATGTCGTCTTCCGAATCCACTTTCTCCAGTCTCTCTCACACCATTCCTCCATGCTCGAGGTTGAAACAGCATTTCGTCTTGGCAGTGCCGCACCCAGTCCCGGATGACGGATTACCTCTATCTTGGTCAAGCTGCTTCAACCCTTCGTCTAGGGTACGCATGTGGCACCAGACTTCCATAAAATCGGTTCTCATTCTTCCTCGAGCACTTTCGCGGCCGGGCTTGGGCCGCTCACAGGCCACCTGGGCAGTAGGCAGAGAAAAGATCTTGGCACAACAACTCAAGCCCGGAACACGCAGACTGCACACTGTCAGTAGCACAGCTTGGCTTGCGAGTTGCACAGTACGACAACTTGATTTTTAGCATATTCAGCAACCGGCATCAAACTCATGTCAGCCTAGCCTCAGCTGCACTTCCACAAACCCTCTGCAAGCTGTCTGGAAAGCCTCATGATGGGAAGCTGAAAGTGATCTGGCAGCCAAAGTCAATCCTAGCAAACATCCGAGATTTAAACCTGGGCGGGTATGTTTTGTGCCAAAAATTGATACACGAATCCCTGCATTTGCCGGGCAGTTAAAGCTGAGAAGACAGCCACTTCCAATTGCTTCTCCAAGCCTCGAGCTAGAAATCGGCAGACTCTCTTTGCTAGTAGCGTATTCGGGTGACCGGCGTGGCACCAAAGCTTTGATCTTGCCCTCTAAACGCATGAGCCTTTTGTCCTGGCAGAAATCTGTTCGAGACGACACCAGTGCGCTTGGCATTCGTATTCTGATCGCGCTCGCTGCCTGCGCTGCCACGGCACGGACCTTTAGCACCTTTCAAGACAACGCCGGACGGCCTGATTCAAACATATCCTGCCCAGGCGTGAACAAGTGGGTGACGGACTGCATGCTTTCTGCGCATATGCTGATCTCTGTGAGCATGAAGCTGATGTAAGCCTGAGGTGGAAATACACGTGCTCAAACATCATATCCACATGGATCAGACTCACCAAACCACAAGGGAACCTCCCTGGCGGCTCTGCAAAGCTCGATGCGATCGGCACCTTCTAAACTCTCTCGACACATCTAGACACTGCGAGCTCAAAACTGATACGACTACGAATCCGTGAACCTCGCCCACAGTTTGCAGACAGCCGCCCAGCCCAGCTTCCTTGCTTCGGCCACTTGGCGCCGAAGTTTCAGCGCCTTCCAAAGTTTTGCGATGCCGTCGCACACTGCTGATGCTGATCGCAGAAAAGAGCCTCCTCCACGGACCTAAGGGTCCTTGATGTCAGAAGGCGCCCTGCCCATCGGCGTGCATCAACCTTGGCAAAGGGCTTCGACTTGGCGAAGCCGAACTATATCCGACATCAGCGGAATCTCGCCCTTCCCTCTCCCCAACCAGACTTCCGTCGCGTACGGATATGAATCCGCGCTTCGAAAGGAGGTTGAAAATTGAGGACCTGCTCCGCCACTGTCCCTCCTGCTCATGCAGCCCTTGAAAGACAAACGAAGCCCACACCGGGCCGGGCCCTTGCGCCTCTGTGGCCGAAGTCGTGCAGTGCCAGTTGTGAGCGCCGACTGAGCACGCGACTCTCACATGAAAGCGCCAAGATGGCCCCTGCGCCTGAGGCAGCTCGCATCAGCTCGAAGCACGCACTTTCTGCCAGCATCACTACATGTAAAGCCAGCGGACTTAATCTTCATTTCAGGAGTGTTCGAGTCTGCTGAGCTCGAAACAGGTGGGTGTCTATTTGGTCAGGTTGGGCCGGTGGTCTCAGCCAGCAGGAAGCCACAGGAAGCCGATTCGCGCGCTGGAGGAACCCGCTTTGTGCACTGATGCAGTGGATTCCGGATCTGAGTGCAGTCTAAAGCATTATTACTAACCCCTAAAACCCAGCGACGGTAAGTGACAGTGAGGCATGCTTTTTGGGTTCATCCGATGCGGGCCTTTCTTGTCGTACGTTTCTCTTGACATGTGTGGTTGCAGGGTCTTGTTCTATGTTGGTGCGAGGCCAACTGGCAATGTTTACAGCCAGAGTACCAGTACAGAAGGCTACAGGTGAACTGCAAGGGCCAGCGCTGCGTTGCGCAAAACATGACCCGCCAACATTCGTTCATCAGATCGAAGAGGTCATGCATGCCTGATTAGATGCATCCCTGAGGGCACGATTTTGCCAACTGCTTTCGCATGGCTTGCGAAGCAGGCGATGTTCGAGACTTCTTCAAAGTCCGATTCTGATCCACTGCTGAAGACTTGAGGTGGGAAAGGCAAACCCAAAGCTTTCGGCTGGATGGCAATGCATTTGGGCAAGGATCGTTGAAGCAATCAGCCGACATCATCAAATCCTATCAGGCGAAGCTAAAGCCGTTTTCGTCGTCACTCTGTGAGAAAATGCGAAGCATCTTTTGCATGACGTTGTTCTTCCTCGATCCCTGACAGTAGAAAGGACAGACGCAATCCGGGTTCTAGTTTAGAAAGCAAGAAAGCGAGTCCTTTGGTGGATCCCCATATAAGAATAAGAACTTCGAGAGCGCTCTAGCACAAAAAGCAAGAAGCTTCTCCAAAATTGACCTTGCAATGTTTTGCGGTTTTGGCACGGATGTTGAGGGCAGGTGCGCGGAGGATGTCCGATACGCTTGTTGCTCTCGATCTGTTCCGTTTGAGGCACGGATTTCTTAGCGGAGGGGCAAGAGGGGAACTGGGCTGGGTTGGAAAACTGAAATTTGGAGAGGCCTGGGGACATGTCCAGTTTTCTTGCCGAGACCTACTCCTGTTCGCCGCTTCGGCACAGTACAGTACCAGACGGTGGCTGCAAAAATGAGAAATGTCAGAAGTGTTTCCTGGTACAAGCCGAACACCAAAGCCGGACGGAACTGGAAAGACTTTGCATCTTTCTTCGGAGCCTCTCCGCCGAGCGTGCCCGTGTTTTTCTAGGCAGCTGCTAAAGTCGTGCCACTCAGCAAGACATCCTCTCTTTTCAATCAAAAATACCGATGCAGCAGTAGCTCAGCTGTATCGATTCCCCTCTCCTTGTAGGCCCAGGGGAAAGGGTGGTGGGGACACCCTTGCAGCCTCACAGAAGTTGCTGCAAGTGATTTCATTACTGTAAGACAAGTCACCTGACCTCAAATCCAAATAATCCAACCTCAAAGATAAATCTCCTGTCTGGCATCTCTCCCACTAGTAGGCCCTTCATGCGCCGCGCACTCCAACCCCCACGTACAGCCGCAGGATCCCGGAAGCCCCCACCACGCTCCTCACCCCCAAAAATACAAGACCTGAATTGTTGTAGTAGAGCCATGAAAGCGACAAGAACAGAAAACCTCCTCCAACTCAGAAGACCGTCTCTAACAGAAAACATGGAGAACTCTTCTGAAGAGAAACCGTGTAAATTTGAAAGACAGTGCAATCCCTTTCTAATCACTGCGAAACAAAAGATCGCCCGAATGTAAATTAGCCGAAAAACTCGGGTAGAAAAAGCTGTTGCCAAATGTGAGAAGCGACTCGAAGCCAGACTTGAACGATTCCTGTAACCTTTGGTAACCCATGCTAACCCCGAAGCAGAGGCACTACATAAACTTTTAGGTTTAGGCTTTGTGGCCTTGTGCCAGGCGTTTTTGGAGGCAGGCAAGCTTGCCGCGGGCTACAGTGTAGAACAGAAGAAAACCCTGTGTAGGACATAGAAAGACAGGGCACTTTAGTTCAGGTCAACCGAGAAAGTTCAAACAGAGCTAACCTTTACCAACAACGCTTGCCCAACAGAAAAAGCAGAAAACCCTCTCTTGCAGAAAACTTTCACCAAAAGGCACCACCATGCAAGGCAAAACACTTTTGACATCAGAAGTCGAACAGCTTTGGTGGAATAGAACACCATCTCTACTACTGGTGACCCCCTCGCCCCTAACTCCAGCGTAGCTCTAGCTTTCATGACCAATGTGACGGATCGGCTCTGATGCACGTCCAAGCTCAAGCGCAACCACTGACAAAGCTGCAGCACAACATTTACTCGGCGACCAGGGCATCACAAGTTCGACGAACATGAAGCGCAAAAGGCGAAGGAGATGCTGGCCCCTGCCTGCAAATCCCCCAATGAAGCCGGCAAGCACGGCTGGTTTTTCCGACCTGAACCGGCGTCCAAGAAAACGGCTCTTGCATGCTCTTCTGCTCTGACTCTGGGTCTTAGGCCTTTGTCAGACCCTCCAGAGACGAAGGCCTGCCTAAGCAATTCCTCGAACTCTTCTCCATCCGGCACTGCCTGAACGAGTGATTGAAACGGCTGCAGCTCTCGAACTTTTTAACTTGGGCTGCCATCGCTGTCGAGGCTGGCCTGTAGACCATAGGACCATAGATGAGTACACTTGTAACGGGTTTACAAAGATCAACCACATATTCAGGATCGAGATCACTGACGTGATCCCGAAGACTTGCCACCAGATAACAAGATCTTAACACAACCCGTGCATCTGTACTGCCAAGAGCGGAGAATTGGACTGGAATTAGTGGCAGCGACCCTCCTTCGGAAAGATGTGAGAAGCTTTTCCTCGCATAGAACAATGCAACAACCCGAGATGGATACTTCCGCGCGCAACACAACCAACCATTTCGGGCGAGAATCAGCTAGCATGCATCTGCAACTGGCACCAGAAGCTTCAGAGTTAGACGGCGACACCTGTTCTCTAGCAACGGCGATGCGTTTAAGCTGCTGCATGTTTTGGGGCCACTCCTCGGAGCACAAAGGCAAATCGGCATGTCTGCCCTCGGCCTCCAATGCAGAGCGCAAGTCCGCGAGCAAGAGCCTTAGACTCGGCGGGCGCTGCAACATCCGCCACTGCGTCTGTCGGGCTCCGACCTCAAGGTCTCCGCCTTTTCGAAAGTCTCCAAACACCTGGCACGTTTTTTCCACTGCAATGCACTTTACACTGACTCAACCTTACATGCTGTCTGAAGGAATACTGTGCATGTGCAGATGGCAAGTACACGCTGGGGGGCAGGGGATTGCGAGAGCTTAGCTCGCAGAGCCATGCTCGAAAAGCTGCAAGCTGTACATCTTAGGGGAAGGCATGTGAGCGCCTTGAGCTCACAGACACGCCGCGGATGGTGATCCGTGCCATATAGGCGGTACCATTCCCAACCTGAGGCTTCAAGACTTCGAAGCTCCTCGAAAGAGACAGTGACTGAGGCTATCTCAGGCGAGGCTTGAGGCTTGACAAGTCAGTGAGCTGCGCACAGAAATTGCGGACACCGCTCCCGCTCCTCCATAGTCAAAACTTAGGCTGTATCAGAAGACTACTCTTGCAGTCTTGCAGCTCTAGCCAAAGCTGTGCATGCCACCTTTTTGAGATTTCAGGAAACTCTGGACTGTAGCAATTCCAGCAAGTGATCCTCCCGGCTTCTGGTGCGGAGGCCGTCGCCTTATACAACAAACAGGGCCAGATGCCAGGTCGACTTGTGACCATATACACAAGCCGTCGGCCGAGTGCACAGCATGCGCTGGCTCACATGCTTGTGAATATCTGCCGGCTCAGCAACGGATGAAGGGAACGGAAGGGTACTTTGCCAAGGTGCCCCGCCTGTTTCCTGGCGATCGTTTCGCACATGCGATATCTCGCCGGAATGACCGCTCCATCGAGCAACCTCCAATCACCGCAAACACTGCAAGTCACCGACACAACGCAGAAGAAACACGTCTGCCTCCAGCTGCCGGAGGAGAGCTGTCCGCAGCCGCATTGAAAGCGACTCGACGGCCTTTCGCCGCTCTGGGCGAGGCAATGTCGCGAGCAGCGCCTCAAAAAGATTCCCGTCTTCCAGATGACAAGAGTGCTGCAAGTCGAAACATGCCTGCAGACGGCCAATGCCAGCCCGCAGATGCTCTTGCCGCTCAGCCTTGTGCCGACACCGTGGAAACCGTCGGCATCTGTCGACTGGTGCAGTGGGTCTGAGAAGTCGACTGCTCTTGCAGGCCGCTTTGTTCGCGCGCCTACCGGAGTGTCAAAGTTGTGAACTCCTGCTCCCCCGACCATCTTCGATGTTTAGACAGGAACAGGTAACAGGTCAATTCCGCTATCTTCAGGCACGACCTCGGATAATCGGCACCCGGCCAGCCTGCAAAACTGCGATCAACGGCGGTGTGAACTTGCATAATGCCACCACACCTTTAGTCGTTTGAGTCCGCTTGGCATTCGACCAGGACTGTTGGTCATGCTGCCTGAAGCCATACTACGGCAAGTGTCAAAAAGCATGGATAGAGCGCGTCGGAATGCGGATCCTGATCGCATTAATCGTGATGTGAAGCAATATCATGTGGACCGCTGCCTTCACATCATTTCTGACATGCAAGGCATCATCATCATCTTCTTCCGCATCCACATATGCATTCCTTGGTGTTGCCGAGGGCGCAATCACAGATTTCATGTGCTTCCATAAAACGACCGTGTGTCGTATGCGCATGCAAAAGGGTACTGCCTGCTGCACACATTTTGTCCAGCGGCGCATCGGCTCGCACATGCACTTGCTCTTGTCCTTCCGGGTCTTCATGTTAAGGAGCGCCTCGTCCGCACCTTTGCCAGGAGTTACGTGCAGGCATGCAGCAGCAAACAACACACGCACACACACACACACAGCTACTGCGGCTGCATAGTTCTTCATGTCAGCCGTGCCGCAGGTCAGCAAGGTAGAAGCGCCAAGAGGAGCAGCCTTGGCACAATGGGGCAAAAGAAAATAGGCTTAACTGGTGGTGGTGCAACTGCATAAAGAATGAAAGGCAAGCTCGACAAAAGTAGAGCTCGTCATGTTGCAAAATGCCTGCGCATTGACATCAGCATTGCCGCACACTCATCTCGCACATGCTCCACTTGCACATCCAGCCTGCAGGCAATGGCTAGTGAACATTTACGAACGGCTGCGGTGATACGTTTGATCCGGAACGTCAGCAGGAAACCGAAGTCAAGTCTACAGGTAGCAATTTCATGCAAAGACTTAGATTTGCAGTACAAGGTGTTTTGCTTTTGATTGTTGTCACATTCGCTCCTGGCGGGTGCACAATGGAGGGCGACAACTGTAATGGCTGCATTCTACATTGCCTGTTGTCTAATCCGAGCGTCTCGTTGATGCGACATGCGTTCGATTGTTGTTCTTGTTGACGGTCACGACGTACAGGCAGTGATTGCAATGGATACTGGCTTGGTCGGCCTGGTTCTTCTACACGGGCCAATCTGCTGAAATGCTTTCAGGCATGTCGACATGCGTTGGCGGCCGGGCGAGCTCTTTTTTGGTTACTTGCTCTTCTTGACCTTGTCTTTCTTTGGCTTCTCCTTCGGCGCTTCCTGCAGCCGGGGCACAAAGAAAAGACCAAAGCACAAGCAAGTAACGATTCCGACTTCTTCAGCTTCCCACCGGTGTAGGTGGAAGAAACGGAAAAAGGCTCGGGGGTGGAAACGGCCTTTGCAAACGAGTCATCCACAGCTGGCCATGTTTATCAGAATGTGCGCGCTGCCTCTTCAAGGATCCTGTGGCTGGCTTCTGGAGCAAATGAATTTTCACCAACGGGGCCTTAGCACTGCGAGGGACAACTCAAAGGCCAGAGCGCGTGACCTTTCCAGACGAGCATCTTCCAGAAGCTGAAGCGGTGCTGTAGCGCACTGAAGCGCCAAGGGGGTGACATAGCCCCAGTGTACCTGAAAATATCAGCGAAAGCATAAACTGTCCATCTGCACTCCTCACAAGCATGCATACAGCTCGCCTCACCATTCCTCACTCTTCCTTCCTTTGTAAGTCTGGACCTGAACTCCAGCCCGAGGCGCTGACGTGAACACAAGCCAGGACGATGCAGCCAACGACCTGCCTGGCGTAGCAAAGGATGTCTCATCGACTGCTTCGAGGAACAACTCTCGCGGAAGTCTGAGGGTCCGTCTGCTGCATCTGCTCAAACCACTTCGACATATCCTGACTCTGAGAGGCCAGGATTCAACAGCGCCCATGTCCTGGTTTTGGACGGACTTTGTTCATGCGAGCTTTACGAAACTGATCAGGAAGTCGATTTCGCCACTGCGAAGGTATCGATTGCTTCGTCATCGCGATGCATCAAGGAATCAAGGAACTCTTGCCCACCTCTAGACTGGCATGTGGAAGCATCTTTCGTGCACCTTCCTGGGAGCTTCGGCCTCCTTTCAGCGCAGTCTCACTGTCTCTGTGAGATTTGGGAATCCAAAACCAGAAGCTCCAACGATTCTCTGGGGTTCTGTGCTTCTCTGGTGTCTGGACCATGGATGAAATCGAGGGAAGTCCAGGGAAACCATGAGAATACAGAGCTACTGTACATATCAGGGGTGTAGATGCAGTGACACTGCTCGCTCCTGCATCCTCAACTTCGCCGGTAAAGCATTTGCAGGGAGTAATTTAACGAATGTGTTCCAGTCTGCAACGCGATTCAATTCCGTGCCGTGTCCGCGTTTGCAGATGTCTGAATCGACAGCGAGATATTCGACATGTTCTTCAGACGAAACCCACAGATTCCGAAGACATTCCGTCGCCAGGCCGTGCTCGAGCGAAACAACTGACTGCCCAAGGCTCCCCGACTACAAAAGTTGATCGCACAGTTTATCTGCCACATGTACTACTTACTACTTAAGTGAATTGGCAAACGACAACTCCCACAAGCTCTACTACAGAGGTAGTTTTCGTGACAAGCGCTGCTGATCAGGTCTACTGTGACACGCGAAACACACGAGTGCTGATTGCAGATACCTACATTGCCTGTATTCAACGCAGAAAACGGAGGGATGCTTTTCGGGGAGGGGTCGGGGGGGGGGGGGGTTGGCTAGTCCCTTCCGTCTTCTCGTCTCCGGGTGGGGGCGGGAAGGGAAGTGGAGAAAGAAGAGAAGAGAGGAGAGAATCAGGTTCTTGCACTTGCGTGGTAAAGGGCTAGCGGCTAGTGCTTCTGTGCGTCTGTGGTGCGTAAAGGGCTAGTGCAAGGGCATGTGTACTCATAGCCAGTGGTCAGTAGTACAACTGACACGCAGCAGCTCGTTATGACAACTTTGGACCGAAACACATTCAACGCGCACAGGTTACACGGCTACACAGGGTAGGACCAACACATCGCCCCCTCCCCTGGGATCTTAGGAGCCCGCATACTCTCGCACAGACTGCTCCATGGCGGGCCTCAATGTGCCGAAGCTGGGCCGGCCGGTGCGCTTTCATTCGATGGCGATCTCTTAGGGGACCGGCTTTACTTCCACGCCCATCTGCATCACTGCTGGAACCTGTCGACACTCTGTCAGAGCCATAGGGAGCGGCTCAGTATTGTCACATGGCCTGGATCTTTGTGCCTTCTGGCATCCCAGCGATCTTGAATCGGATCTCGGCTCTGAACTCATTTCATCAGTGCTACCGGTGCTGGTTTTCTTGAGATGCACCCAAGGCTCCCATATCAAGGCACTTGCACCTCAAGTCGTGCAAGCCGCAATAATCACGCCCATGACAAGGTCGGGCTGGGAGCCGTGCAGCAGAGCTGAACCGCGACGAAGACGACGCGCAGGTGTGTCAAATACCTTTCTGAAAAATCATCGCAAGATTGCATATGGCAACATCAGCAAACCGCTTGAAAGGCTTCACTGGCTAGTGAATCCACAATTGACATTGATAGAGGAGAGTATGCCACGGTCTTGCAGTGTCGGATGAAGGTCAGGCTTTTCACTTGGATTTGAATTCTGACTTCTCTCCACTTCTCCAATGTAGTTCAACATGGCAAAGGAAGTGTCCAGCGCCAGCGCCAATTAGTATGCAAATGTCAAAGCATGTCAAGACTGTTCCCGCCAAATACGGTCACCATGGGACGCCTAGGAGCCTTTGTGTGAAAAGGCCTGGGTAAATCAAAAGCTTCAAGTGCTGCCTGTAGCGCTATAGTACCACAGGGCGATGCTTTCATGTGCTTCCACGCTGCACGTGCCGCTGTAAATGCGGTGTGAGGTTTGTGTTGCTGTGCAGCTGTACGGCTTCAAACGGGGATATGGCTAAGGACGTTCCTTCAAGAGACCAAGGATGACCCGGCTCTGGAGTCAGATAGAAAACCCACAAGGTTGGGCCAAGTCTGGGCTGAAATAACCAAAAGTTCAAGGAAGACAAGGACGGGAGTCAGAGAATGCTGGGAATCTGGATTTTTCGGGACATGGAATTCCTGAAGTTTCCCTGTTCCAGGTCGAGAACATTAAGGCTGTGTCACCGTCGCTTGTTGCAGTCTTCATAAGTTTTCGCATGTCTCCGTCGCAAAGGCGCAGTTTGGCAATGCTTGATCTGCCGAACGCAAGTAAGGGCCCAGCCCGAGCTTCTCGATGTCATACTGCTGCAGAAGGAAAACCTCTAGACCCACAGCTTGCTGTACAAGAACTTGAATCGGCCACTGCGAAACACTGTGGTGATCTTCGACTTCGGGACTTTGGTCTCAGGAGGCCAACATTGAATATCGGCATCCAACATCGCTGAAGGAGAATCAACACAGCCCCGGGTTTGAAAACGAGGCGATTAGCAGAAACAGAGAAGAGATGATCGACTTGCGCAACCCTTCGCTGAGCAAGAGGTTGGAAGCGGGTGGTTCCTGTACCGGTTGCCTCCAGCTGCGCATGGCGGCACCAAGGAGCGACAAATTGGGCTTTCACAGTCGACGGCTCAGCAGCATCATTTGCTCACGGACTACCCCAGAACCGCAGGCGTGAAGAGGATAGGGCAAGAAGCATCAATCGCAAACATGATCATGAGACATGCGCCTGAGTCGTGACAACATTCCACCCTTGTGCAGGGCAGGGGTTCCGACACCATCCTACACCAACCCACCCATTTAAATCACGGATGGGCTTGCAACCTCCGTCTATGCAAGCCAAGTCTGAACTTCGAAGAAGAACCACCAAACCTAGTGACCTAGTGCTGAAACGACCAAAGGATAACACTGAGGGGGCATTGTGTTGAGACGACCTCACCCAAACTGGGAAGACTTCACCTGGTGCCAGCAGGTTCATTCTTCTGCTGTGCAACTGGAGTCCCAGGCCGCATGGCAGTTTGGCACTGAAAACTTCTGACGACGCTCGGTTTTTGTTGCAGGCTTGTGGAAATCGACTCTGAACTCGCTCCTGGGCTCCAGCGGCTCGCATTTAGGGGGAGCAGGTTTCAGTTTCGGCCTTGTTCGCAGCTCCTCCTAAGACACCGCTGGCTACCTGCATCGTGAATGCCGAGGCTCGCACCAAGCCCTGGCATGTGCTACGTAGCACCGATTCGAGCTGACTTATAGAAGCTTCTGGCTACTCCGGGCTGCTGCTGCACTTCTGCACTGGCCCTGCTGTTTTCGAAAACATGCCAGGCAAGACCAAAGGCACGATTTGAAGCAAGGGATTGCCTCGAGTGAACGAAGGATGTTGTGAGCTCACGCCAAAGGATGCGTGCCTCCCGGAATCATCCCAGTCTCTATGGCAGCAACACAAGCCACTGCACTGCGGCGTAATCAAGTCCAGCTTGGTATTGAAGCTCCAAGGCAATGCACCACTCTCAGCTACTCCGAAAATTCATCTGAATAAGTGCTTCTGCCCCTCAGTTGTTCTGATCCGACACAGGCGGCGGCACGGCATTCTATTCTGGCGATTGGTGGCTCATTCGGCCGTCTGCAAGGCGTGCAATCCGCATGTTTTTTTATCTCTGCTTTGCGGAGACATGAATTCAACCGACCAGTCGCATGGGTGTTCGAGTGTCGCTCAGCGACTGAATCACCTACACAACGCTGCTTTTTCCATCTGTACATCCACCTTCGTCGAAGGCGAGCTGATAAATCTGACTTGTCACGTTCGTGACAAATCAGGCTACATGTAGACGATTAAGAAGCGCGGTTCGCTCGAACACGTCGACATGGACGTGCCTTGCCTCTACGTCTTGTGTCGGCATGGCAGCCAGCTAAGCACCAGTACCAGTGCGTCGCATTGCTACTCGATCGGAATGCTCTCAACGTCAGCGTCTTGCTTAGCGCTCGGCTCCTCTTTTTCAAGGAGAGTTGTCTCAACCTTGGCAAATGCTTGCTTCTTCCAAACTTCATTCAAAAAGCACTTACACACGTCATGTCAAGTATCGCAACGTACTCCCCTGGACAACTTTGAGAGGCGGCGACGAATTCCTGACGAATTCTTGGAGGATGAAGGAGGCAGCGAAACGCATCGAAACGCGCAGCCACAGATGCTTACAGAAACATGCTCGTGGTTCCAAACTTCAAACTGTCACGCGCAACTCTGCACTATTTGCATTCTCTCTCGTATCCCACGGAATCATGGAGCGTGCCGCATGGTTAACTTCCACAAGTTGGCTTTCGTGCCTATCTGAATCTGAAACAGGCTGAAGCCTGTTTTCACACAATCACGGCGATTGAGATTGAGCTTCAAGGCTCAAGGTTCAGCTCTGAAACTCCGAAGCTTGGATCCGGGCCAGGAGCTGCGAGACCAAATAGGGATCCATGTTCGCAGCCGGCCGCCTATCCTGAATCGCGCTTCAAGCCGACCTTCTGCTAAAGTGCTTTCGCTGGCGTCTCGGCACCTCATAATATCCACAATCACGCATCGCCTCAGACCAAGTCAACACGAGAGAGAGAGAGAGAGACAGAGGCAGAGAGAGGCAGACTGACAGACCGACCGACGGACGGACATGAAAGACACGAGCCCTGTCGTATGTTCTTGCGAGAAACGGCATGACACGTGATGGACACGTGTACTTCGCATGGCAACTGCGCTGACCTTACAACGCTAGCTAACTTAGGCAGGGGCTACTTTGCAGCCGATGCGTATGCTGGCTGCTCGGTCACCAATGCCTGCCAGCTGCATCTGTCAGCACGTGAACGACTCTCACGGTCCGCCCCGCCCCAGGAGAAGTCGTTGATCGAGGCGGTGTCGTCTTTGCCAGTAAGACGCCGCTCGTTTCCGATGCCATAATTTGCAATGTGCTTGCCCTGTCGCAGTGCTCGCAGCATAGTAGTGCGAGGGTCAGCAAGCAGAAAGACTTCGAGCACGAATACTCCAGGATCTGAGGAGAACACATGATTTTTTCGAAGCCGTTCACACTGCACTTTGATGGCATCCATCCCTCCTGCAATCAGAGGCCCTCGGCACCAAATACAAAACATCCGCTTGCACCCCGTGGACTTACTTTGCCCATCCGCCACTACTCGCCAGTGCAGGTGCCGATATCAGGTTGCTTGCTTCGCGCACAGGACAGCGACAGCATTGGACAATGCTGGAAAGCTCCTGGGCTACTGCGTGTAGCCATGTTGGAATAGTTTGTGTGACCTCAGGGTCGTCAACTTGGCATTGTGAAACTGGCGAGCTCGTGAACTAAGTCTTTGGCAGCCAATCCCAGCTTGCTTGATAACAGGCTTAGGGTCGAAGGTGACGCCAACCTGGTACTCCTCACAAGCATGTCTTGGAGTCTGCTCCGACTCCGAACTTCAATGGTTCTGTGGCCGTGTCCTCACAGAGTCTTTGTAGAATGTACCGTGCCATCCACAAATCGTCCGCACCCAACCTGAGCACAATTGCATTTACACAGCAGCTGACAGCAGCGCGTCCAAAGTCGGCTTCAACACTGAGTTCTGTAGCATCACTCTCATCCAAGCGACGTTCCAGATGCTGGGCCTACCTGAAACTCCCACTGAGCAGGTGCAACCTGGAACAAGGAGAAGTCATGAGGAAGGCTTGCAGTACTATCTGCAGTGATCCATGTGGAGCGGTGGTCCGAAAGCTGTTGCAGGAAGCTCTGTGCGCGTCGAGAATGGACGCATGATTACTCATCGGATCTTATCGTTTTTTTCGCATCGGGCCTAGCGCAGGCAGGTACCCGATCTGGAACCCGCGATCCGATCAGGCTGGCGACGTGGAACAGGATTCCGGTAAGGCATGAGGTTCCCGATACGGTCAACACTTCTGCGATACTGGTAATTCTATGATCAATTGTGATCACTTGCGTTTCCTTACAAGGCGGCGGCGAAGGGTGATGAATGAACTGAGTGCAATATGTCAACGGGGGTCATCGTAAGGCCAAGGGCTTGGGGCGGTGAATTCAACCTACGTGGTTGATTGCCCGAGTTTCTGCGACTCATGCCTGTGTTTACATCATCGCACTGCGACCCGACAAAAGCTGGAAAGAATCAGACATATCTGAGAAACCACCTGTGTTCTCTCCGTTTCTCTCCGCATCCGAGAGGGAGAGGTAGCAATTTCAAGCGCTGTCCTCATCTAAAGATGGTTTTGTGGTGCGAGTTTCTCTCCACTTCAGTTGCAATTCACCTTGTAGATTGCCACACGAAGTTTTGTAGCGTTCGTTCACACCGGAAGAGAACCCACCGTGGAAGTAAATTGAAGGTTTTGACATGTTGCTATAGACGACGCCTGCAATGTAAGGTTCAGCAGCGAAGTGAGAAAATTTGCCTGGGCTGCGGTACAATGGACATTTGATCCCGTTCATGGCTGTGGCTGATTCAACCAGCCAGCCGCCGCCAGTCCGGTTGATCTTGTTCACGCCGTTCACTGGGGTCGGTTCCGGTTCCCATCACCGTTTTCTCTCTCTCGCAGATTGGATAAGCCCGCTTGGGGGCCTGCAGCTTCCGGCTCCCGCCTGACTCTGAAGCACGAAATTTGGGAGAAGATCCAATTCTCTCAAAACGAACTTCTGATTCAAGTCAATGCTTTGGGAGAGTCCTGCAAGCCAGTGATTCGACATGTGCGGTGATCGAATACCTTTCAACTCACCGAGAAAGTGCAAAGCTCCCTCCCTCCTGGGGGGCTTGGGTAAACGGCCACCAAACATAGCCTCTATTTGGACCTTCTTGCATCGTTCAGCCATTTTCAACGGAATCCCTTCCTGCTTCCTGGCGTGTGACTCACGTTGGGATCCATGCTGTGCTGCAGGGGCAACGCATTCACTGCAGAAAAACCACGGCCTTTGCCTTGCTGTATGTTCTGCCCTGCTGTGCCTGTAGCCTTCGGAACTTCGGAGCCTTTGAGTCCCTTGACCTTTCAGACCCTTGCTTCGTCCCTCCCTCGCAGCCTCGGAATTGATGCCACCGATCATGACCCCAGCATAAAGACAAGCTCGGTAGTGGGACTCGATAAGGCTGCGCGCCACGACTTTCTGCGATCCCACGGAGCAGTAGAAGGCCTCAGCTGCAATACTTGTGCGCAATCAGTTACAGTTACAGGGCAAGGTCCCCCCCAAAACCCTTGCGCCAAGCTACAGTCTCTTTGTCGGGATATTTGCCATGCGGCCAGCCCAGAGGCCAATTGGTTGTTGTATCAAGCAAGTAATACTCTTGCTCGAAGCCGAACCAGGGATCCTCAACAAGCGAATATGAGCAAGAAGCGCAGCAGCGCGCCGGCAGAGACAGAGCAATGGGTAACTTGGCAGGCACCTCCCCAATCTCTTCGGCTCGGCGCATAGCCTGAGTGGTGATCTCAAGCTTAACTGATGCCTGCTCCATCAACTCTACCTGCAGCTGCGACTCAACCTGATGGTTTCCCGGTTTGCACTTCCAGCCTATTGTGCAGTCTTGCTACACTTGCACATTACACATCGGCCCTGGTCTGAAGCCTTTTCGGATAGTCGCGTGCGAGGCTTCGTGAGCCCTGAAGATCTTGGATGGAAGCAACCAAACGGTCACGGCCAGAAAGCTCTGGGTCGCTGGCAGAAGCACATATTTTCAATGGACTCCCGACTTCGAAACGACGATCTGCCGAATGGTTCAAACTTAAGGCTCAGATAAGGAAGCACCAGCACCACGTCACTACAAGGATCTGCGAGGTATGCTGTCCACACAGAAGCAGAACTTTCGGAGGTCACGACTGCAGCAGGGGCGCTGCTTCACAGGCCGCGCGTGTATTGAACTTTGTGGCCGGGCCATGGTCTTTTTCATCGCCGGAGGGCTCCTCGCAACAAACGTTGAAAGCCGGGTCCATGAGCGACACATAGTGACACTGAAAGTGCCGCGGACTTCCTGGCCTGGTACGTATCTGCCAAAACGATGATGTTGTCCCCCGGCCGGAACGGGTCCCGGTACATCCGCCGCGGCACAATCACAATGTCCTTTGCATCCTGGGCTGAGTGAAAAAGTTCTACACCTGTAAGTTTGCTCATCACAGTTCTGCAAGCTCTTAAGCTCTGCTCATCGGTATCCTCGTGTATCCTCCTTCCTCTGGCGGACGATGACGCTGCAACAATTATCAATAATTTAGCAGCAGTGGAGTGAAGTGATGAGTGCGGCAAAGCAAAACTCGCGGCCGCTCTGCAACAATTTAGCAGCCGCGTCACATCCCCTGAGTAGGTCCAGATGGGAATTTCATCCAGGGAGACCGGGGAATCTGCCAGCGTCAGTGTTTTGCAGCACAAGTCAAAGCTTTGTCCATCCCAGTAGTCGGAGTCGATCCAGACGTACCTTGGGTGGAGCTGGCGCGCAACATACAGTAAGACAGCAGGATTCAAAATAGGGTACAATAAGGGAGGCAGAAGGCGGGAGCAAAGGAAGGAAGGGGGTGCCATCTTAAATCGAGCAACTCGGCTTGCACCTTTCCATTCTGGTCGAGCGTCATGTACTTCTTGGAAAGCAGAGGATCCATGCCAATCTTCATGATGCCTGTGCTGGCCTGGCATGGTCCACTGGTCGCTCCTTTGTAGGAGACACCGGAGCCCATGTCGCGCCTGCACGAGACTGTTATCAAGAAAGACTTACAGATGCAAAATAATACAAGATCCTCTGGCACTCCAGCCTGGACGAAGTGCTGTTAGCGGGCGAGTAGATGAGCACATTGCATCAATGCCTAACCGCGCGACTCCCCTGTCAGCCCACATGCCAGCCGGTTCGGCTCAAGTTTCGCCAGTCGCAGAAACCTAACTGTTACAGGCTTCGACAGGGGAAACCCAACTCAATCTCCACATGCTGGAGCTGCTGTGCTGTACACGGCCCCTGAAATCTCAACCGCAATACAGACACCGCAGCAGAGTGACGCTTGCTTTTCGCGGCCCGCAGACGTAATCCTTGGAGCAGACTCATGTGCCATCATGCTGGTCATGTAAGGGCGCATTGGACACCTGCGCAGACGCCTGGGAAGACATCGGGATGTTTGTCTTGTGCAGCAGCACCCTGATCATCCCATGGGTCACTGGGTTGTCAAGCACTTGTAAATGCGGCACGAAAGCCTTGCCAATGTCCAGTTAAAAGATAAGTCGCGGGTCCTACGAAGGTTGCAGCTGTGATGTAGTTGCATTCCCGAGTCTGTTTAATTGGTATGATTTAGCCGAAGCTTGAATTTGGGTACTAGCAGCCTCACCCAGAACCCACACAACCCACGCTACCAGCAGAGGGCACGTATGGGCGCGCCGTTCGTCGGGCAGCTGCAGCTCGGACACCTCGGAGGTTCAGAAGCCAGCAAGGGCAAAGCAGGAAAACTGACGACAAACAGCTGCCAGCATCCAATGGAGAAGCTTAGTTCTCCCTACGTCGCAGAGTTTGTGGTCGTGGGCTGGGCTAAGGCAGATCAGAATTAGTATTCCTGTTGACTACCATCTTGCGCGGCATGTCCCTCCAGGTTCGCATTTGGGCATAACACGACAGCCTGTCCTCCAGAATCACATTCTCCACGAAACTGTTCAGGGGCGTGGTTGGACTGTGCACGTCAAATCTCCTGCTTGCACTTTGTTTTGGTACGTACAGAAAATCAGAAAGCTACACACCATCACACACCCAAACCAAAATGCACATACATTGCGCTAAGTACTATCGCTATTCACCCAAGACAGATAAGCAGGGACTCAAAGATATGCACATACATCGATGTATTTCTAAAGTAAACAAGGAAGTTGAACTCAAAAGTACAAAGCCTGCACAGAACCAAACAGCTTTCTCAACATCAATATACGTGTATGTAGATATATACATATATGGTTGCGCCCCGGCGGGCCCCCCCCCCTCTCCCCCCCCCATGGTATCCTGTTAGGTACTCTGATATATTTTCATAAGCAATCGACGTGTATTCTCCCCGCCCCCCCCCGCCCTGTGGAACGGCATGGCTTGCCTTGTCTATCCCCCCCCCTGTGGAACAGGATGGTTTGCCCTATTTTCCAACCCCCCCCCCCCCTGTGGAACAGGATAGTTTTCCCTTTTGCTCTGAGACACACACACACACACACCGCGTGTCTGTGTATGTATGGCATTCTCCGCACATGCTCTCCTGTAATGTTACGAAGTATTGCCTGGAACCCTTTTCTAAGGAATTTTACATAGCCTTGCTTGGAAATTTTGGCACACGAGTAATCTTGCTGAGTGCTGCCTAGAACATGTTGCTTAGTGCTGGCAGGAAGCCCTGCTTGAAGGCCTTCGGAGTAGGAATAATGTTACTCTGTTTTGCCTCGAAACCCTATCCTTACTGTGGAAATTACGCGGGTGCGTCGCAGGCGGGCCAAGCGGGGTACAATACGCTGTGCGGCGCGGCTGTAGCGGGAGTCCTCCAAGCCTCCAGGGTTCAGGCTCCTGTATTTGGGGGGGGGATACCATTGGGGGGGGGGGAGGGGGGGGGGCCGAGAACGCACAGCGCACAACCATATATATATATGGTCACCCCCCCCCCCATGACAGACCATGCCCTTTCGACTCAGTCGTAGTGCATGGTCTGTGATCGGGGGGAGGGGGCACTCAGCTTTCAAAGCCTCAATTCCAAAATTTCCAAAATTTCCAAAATTCTCTCCCCTAACTTTCCGGATTTCCAAAATTTCCAAAATTTCCGAAATTTCCAAAATTTCCAAAAAGTCCGCCCTTATGTTTTGGAAAAATCCTGTCGACTAGGTCGGGAAATTTTGGAAATTTTGGAAATTTTGGAAATTTTGGAAATTTTGGAAATTTTTGAAATTTTGGAAATTTTGGAAATTTTGGAAATTTTGGAAATTTTGGAAATTTCGGAAATTTTGGAAATTTTGGAAATTTTGGAAATTTTGGAAATGCGGAAAGTTAGGGGAGAGAATTTTGGAAATTTTGGAATCTGTTCTATATATGACTCAAGTAAGATTACTGTGTAGTGCTTACTATGTAGTGTATCAGCACAACCCTCATCCATACACGTGTGCTCTGTAATTCCTTTCTTGGTAGGACACCCGCGCGCCTTGTCGTGCTAGTCTCCGCATCGGACCAGATTACTTGCAACGGCAAGGGCTGTCAATACTCATGCCCATATTTACACGAATATCTCTCTATCTATCTGTATATCTATATATACATATATGTATTGATACTCCTACATATAGTATTGCCATTGAACATACTGACATTGATCATTTGTTGAATGCTCAAGCTAATACCAGCATTACTACTAATATTACACTTCTATAAAGCTTAGTACGAATATGCATAACACAAATACTAAGATTGATTAGTATTTCTCTTAGTACTCCTACGCATATCAATAACCATATTCATATTGATAATAATGTATAATAATACCAATACTAACACACACCTGTATGTACTAATGTACATAAACATGCATACCACCATATTAAAATACAAATCCTTTAACTCACTCATGAATTCAACTGTTAGAAATTCACGTGGTCAAGAGTAATAACAATACAAACATTCTTTCGAATGTATATCATCAATAATATGATAGTACTAACGCTAACACTAGTGCTAATACTTAACACAAAATCTATACTAACATCAATATTTACATAGCTATTTATACTCCTACGAATACGAATACGTAAACCCTTGTGCGTTAACAGTAGTGCTATCACCAACACTAATACGGACTTTGATAATCTGTTGCATATTCAAGAATGCCACTAGTATTACCAGCATGAACACTCATATTATGGCTATTACGAGTATAAATAGTCCTACTTCTACTAGTATTGACATTAATACTCCTACGAATACCAATAGTATATTCATATTGATATGAAAACTAGTACCATTACTAATAGACACCTGCATATACTCATGCACATAAAATACGTACCACTATCTTAAGATACAGATATATACATCAGTGCATTCATGTATTAATGCCTTGGCATAGGCATATACCCATATACCAATGTATCAATATACTTCTAGTTGTTGTATGAATATACTATACGAATATGTGACTATAATCATATACGGCTACTGCACTATGCAAGAATACCGACATGACAAGTTCGTATACTAATATGCCAACATACTGATATACTTATACATGATTAGATAAAACAGTAATATAGTACACATATTCGTACACTAATATTCTAACGTACGAATATACTGGTATGTCAATATACTAGTAAGCTAATACAGCAGTATAGTAGTGTAGTCATGCACCAGTTGTACTAACATGTAAAATATACTAGTATACAAGTATGCAAATATTTTTCTGTCCGAATACATTGATGTATTGATATACTAATCTGCTAATATACGAGACTATCAATATACTAACATATCAAAACTAACTAGTTCTAATATTGATACTAATACTAGCACTTCTGCGAATATACGCTGCTGTTAAACCCAGCATTAAGACTGATACTGATACTACTCGTAGCAGTGGTGCTGTATTACTGACATTGACACTGGCACTAGCGCTAACTCTAACACGAACATGAGCACTAACACTAATTTATAGTTGGCAATATTGATACGTATACTTACATCAAGCAATAGTACTAATATTAACAACAATACTCACCCTAATACCGATACTACCACAAGACTATTACGTAACTCATGTGCCGCACGTCTGGTGCTATACTATATACCTCATGTAACGGTTTTGCTTCACAGAATATCGTTGTGCACGGTGTGTTTTAGACCCGTGGTCTGTCACCGGGGGGGGGTGAGCATATATATATATGTGTGTGTGTGTGCGTGTTTCCATAGTATGGGTGCTATGTGTATATGTATACATACACCGTACATGTATATATGATTATACATGTATATATTATATATACACATACTTCTACGCATATTGAGTCATTCCTGGATGTGTGTATACATCAATCAAGGAAGTTCACTGGTTTTTGGCCGCGTGGGAAGTATATCCTACAGCAACATCAGTTTGCATAAATATCTCTAAAATTTCCGCACATGTGAGCATGTGGAGCATTCTCAATATTCCCGGGTCCCCCAAACCAGATATAGGCATATGCATACATGGTATTATACGTCTTTACATGCATGTATGCCGATGTGTGCATAACACTGCGTATGCCATGTTACAGATGAGCGGTTTCAGTTGATTTGTGTATTCAGTGACAGCATGTTTGACCGCTTCTGAAATATATGGGATGAAAACGAATACCAGAATACCATATGCATGAATGATCCGATCTTATTGTTGTCACTGTGGTTGCTGCCCCGACCCGCGCAAAATCATGCAAATACCACATGTTGCGCTTTGCGCCCACGTGGTGCACCTGCGAACTCAGAGGATGAAAGTCCTTATGTTGAGATCTGGCATGGTGTTGGTCTTGTCATTGAACAAAAACGAACGCCCAAATTGGCTTTAGCGCATCACCCCGCGCAGCAGTGCCTCAAGGTGCAGAAAACCTGCGGGCTGTTGAGCTTGCATAAAAGCAACGAGTTCGCAGGTAGGTGGCCACGCTCCACGAAGTGAAGCCATCATGATGATAGGAGTAGCAATACAACTACCAGTGGGAT